TATCTGCAGTAAGGGCAATATTAAGTATTTATGGATAACATTATGCATGGTAATGGAAAATAGATAAAAGATCAAAACCTTGGTCCATCGGGATGATTTCCAGAACTATGGCAGAAATCTCAACACAGAGTGTATTTGGTTTGAATAACTACGGTAATTCTATTGCCAGTCATCCAGAGCAGGAAAATTAATACATGCAGTGTACATCCATGCATAAACTGGCCTTAAGCTGGCCTTAAGCTAGATACATGGAATTTTATATGTGAGTTCAGTTCCTTCCTACCACTCAGCTGTGGTATTAATATTGAAACTATTTTTAAAATATGGTTGCTTCTTTAAAAACGGAAAAAACTAGTTTATTTTGCTGACTTTTTCCTTTCCTTTCTCTTTCACTACCAGATTTGTGAATTCTTTCCTGGAACAGCCAGAAGTCTCAGTCATTGGTGCTGGAAGAGGGCATGCTGGTACTATAATTCACAAGCTTTTTGTGAATTCACAGCGGGTAAGATGGACTTTTTAACATCTCTAATGTAGGCCATGTAAGATTATTCTCAGTTCAAAATGCCAGGCTTTGAATGTGCCTCCCTGTATAAGAATACTATGGCTATATTAAATATTCAGCTAAATGTAAAAAACGGGCAGCACTTAACAAAGCAGATTATAGATCAGTGTGTTCCTTCCAGGGTGGTAGTTCTGTGAAACAATTGTGGGTGTTTTGTTGTGCATTAATGTACGTAAGGTCCGTTTGTACTAATGCACATTGATTGAACAAAGTAGTAGTTTTTAAGTTGCCAGAACAAAATGAACTTTGCATTTCATAACAGCTACCAGTAAGTGTTTTCCAGGTCTAATTTTTCATTGTGTGATATAATAGCAGCTTCTGGAATGCTGTAATGTATGTTTATATTTCAGTCCTTTGCTATTGATTACTGGTGTGGTCTCAGGGAGGACTTGGGTAGGCAGAAGACTTTAGGGAGTTACTGAAGGGCCTAGGAGAAGATTGGAAGTGGAATAAGAGTAAGAGAAGGCCTGAAAGGAGAGGGGTTGGTTGCACATAGCCATGAGCTGCAAATGTGAGAGAGGTTGAAGTTTACAGAATGTTTTTAAACAACCAAATAATTTGTGGCTGCAGAGAACTAGTTGGCGTATTTAAGGAACTTATACTCTCAACTCTGAACCCAAAGAAGCCCTTGCTTGGGCAGACAGCACGCCTGCAACTCCATTGGGGTGCACTTGCTCATTCCGCTAGCCTGCCTCCAGCCCTGTGATACACTGCATGCTGTTTTGGAGAGTTCCTCCATGTTCAAGGGAATGGCTTTGTAGGAACACAGAAGTCTGTAGCGAGAAGGGTCTATTGCATGTATATTCCTGTGACAGGAGAAATATGAGGAAGCACTTGCACATGGGAAATTGCTCACAGTAGATGAAATATAGCAAGTGAGAAGATAAGAACTTAAGAAAGAATATGATTGGAGAAGGAAGCATGCAGACTTTCTGTGTTGGTGAAAAAAAACCATGCAACTCTGCATTCATAATGAAAACATGATGAAGTTATCACTTAATTACACAAGGTTGCGTCCCATGCTGTTTAGTGTAGGGGCTTCCGTGGGTAGGATTGGGAAAGCCCCTTGCTGAAGTGATCTTCTGCTTGTTCTTTTAGAACACGAATATCAGTAAAAATAATGCTTGCTAATAATTCATTTCTGCAAGGTCATTAACTGGTAAAACTTAATCCCAGTAGTATTTCATTTTAACCAATGGATGGACTGGTTTTTTCCCCTTAGCAGCTTTAAAATGCATGATAAAAATAAGGCAAGTTTAGTGATTCACGTCCCTGCATGTATTCTGATGCACAAAAGCTCCTGCAGCTGTAGGCTGCCCTGTTCATTGTAATGGCAGCATTAAACATCCATTTCAGATGAATATAATTGGGTAGTGACTGCCTCTGTTGAAATGAATGAACTCCTTTTGTCTCTCAGTTGCTAGATTAGAACATGTATGGAAAGTTGCATCTGCTGAATGGGTAAAAATGAGGTTGATTAGACTGGAATATTGTTTAAATTTACCATATTATCTGTACCAGTTCTGCATCAGTGTGTTCTATGTTTGTTTCATGTTCTGAGTGTTTATCACAGTAGCTCTCTTGACTACAACATATACCTGAAGGGCACTCTGCCTTTTAAAGCAGACAATTCTGAAACCTCTCTTGACCCCATGTGAGTCATCTCTGACTTGCCTTTCTTTATCTTTTATCACTGGTTCTCTTCCTTATCCAGCTGACTGAATCTTCTGAGGAGGTAACTAGATCTTTCCCTAATTTTCTAGTCATCTGCCTAACCTCATGTAGGTGCATAGAAACGAATGCTCTAGCAGCATAGTGCAGTTGCTTGATTTGCCTCCTACTGATCACTTGCATAGTCAAACCATTAAAATAACTTCATCTTACCAACTTCAAACAAGATTTTCTGAAGCCAGAAGTTTTGAAACCAGGTTGTGAAGTAACTTGTGATTGAAAAACTGGAGCCTTAAGTGGATGTCTAACTGGAAGGTATTTGAAGTCTAAAGGCCTCACAGAGCCATGCCTTGTTTGGTAATCGAGTTGTTGCCTATGGCTTCTTCAGATGTGCATGTGTTTTGGCTGGCAAGGACTAAGCATCATAAACTGTTGCAGGAACATTTGTCCACTTTTATTGCAGAAAGCAGTTTAGTTTTTGCTGCTTTAATATTTTCTCTTGCTTTATTAATACTTCCTCATAAAACGCTCGCATGAACAGATTTATGCTTCTCAGTTATGAAGCAGCTGTAAACTAACTCTACCCACTTAGCAGGATAGTCATATTTTTTACCTTAGAGATGCTTTATGAAAGAAATTTAACTCATTTAGTAACCGATTACTTCCTTGGTGCTAAGAAAGACAGGCCATTTGTGACCTACAATAGTTCTCATCCTGTTTGGGTGGCAGGACTCCCTGAAACAGGGAGTTGTCATAGCGCAGTGCTGTACTAGTATAAGGTCCCAGGCACAGTTATGTCCTTTATCAAACTAAGGTAGCAGGGCTAAAAAGGATCACTGGAAGATGGGCGAATTAGGTGGTCATGTCATGTGAAAATACATCAAGCCCTGATTAACACTGCTTTCCTTAGATACAGACCCAAACACTGTAGAATTCATAGCAAAGCTCTTGTAGTCTAATTTTAATCATAATTTGCTGGAACCTCAACATTACATTGTTTTGACTTTTAACTAACAAATGTCATGTTTTTCCGTTTTGGAGACCATCTGAAGCAGTTCAAGGTCCACTTCATGAACCTGACTGAGAGTGGTCTGTGGTGTTGTCGATTGTGTGGCCCCCAGGCTGTGTGTTTAATACTTCTTTACCGGCATTAGTCGTGTTGTAGAAGCACAAACTTAAAAACCTACATTTCTTCACTTTAGAAATCCACTGCAAATGGTGCTTTCATTGTCACACTCATTCATTCTTCTCTTACATATCCGTCTGTGCCTGCATATTGCAACTTCTTCAAAGCCAAGACTCACTATCTGTTTATGTAGCCCTTATTTTTTAATTATCCTGCCGTTCCTTGGTTTTAAAAATGATTATGGAGCAAACAAAACACATCAACAGTGAGGCTTCTGTATTTTTTTTAGGTTGCCACAATGATGCCCCTTGACGAAGAACTTAAGAGGTCTGGCTCTTTGGATGAGAAACGTTTCAGTTCCGGAATAGCTGGAGACTTCCCCTGCCTGCAGGGCGTGAGGTTATTTTGCGCACAACTGTCCCACGGCCTGCCCCTTACTCCAAACCTCTGCCTCAGCGCATGTATAGTGTTCTCACAAAAGAGGACTTCCGACTAGCTGGTGCCTTTTCATCCGATACAACATTCTTCTGATGTCACTGTGTAGCCTGCCGACAGTGCATCTTTGCCGGTGGTTCAAATGGTCATTCCATGTCCAGTACTCTAGAGCTGAGGATAATCCTTTCATAAATTTAGTAATCAGTAATGAAATACTCACAGACTAATCACTGAGGAGCAATGCTTAATGCCAAACAACTGTCTCATAAGATGTAGGTAGAACTTTAGAGTAAACTTTCATTTGGGAAAACTCCATCTGCATATATGTGTTAAAGGGCTTCGGAGGGATGCTGGGAATGGGATTGTTGGGGAGCAATCCATTCCTGTTTACAGTGGTAATGAAAATATCAGAACTCTGCATTAAGCATAAAAGCAAATATGGTGATACTTGTAGAATTCTACAGCCTCGTATGAAAGTTTACTTTGCTCATCTAGACCAACCTGACCATCAAATGTGTAATGCCACCATCAATGGGTTATAAACTTTGTTTAAAGCTGTATGTAGTCTACACATAATAAAATGCAACTCATTCGTGGGTCTAAATTGCTGTGTATATATTACTAAAGAACAGATGGACCAAAAATTTAAACTACCATCCATCAAAAGTGTGATTAAAAAGTGGTAATTTACTATAGTGAATATACCAGCAGCATTTTTGCCACAGGATGAATTGTACTCAAACCCTCTGTACCACTGGCTTTCAACTCTTAGAATCATGCTGTTTGTTTATATACTGTTAGAAAAAGTAAAGGGTTATTTTAATGCATTGGATCTATGTGTTCTGTTCTTGTAAAGGAATGCTAAATGTTAAGGTTTGAGGCCATGCCACTGTTTTACGACCATTAATTCATTTTTTTATACAAGACTACAATCCTAGCCTCACTTACCTGGCAGAAATCTCATTGAATTCAATAGAACTTAATTCCGAATAGACACAGTTAGGATTGTGCTGTCAAGATAAGCAGCTGAGCAAAGCAGCAGATTACAAGGACAAACCTCATGGTGCAATTAGGAAGCTAGAGGTTACAGCAGTACTGATATTTTAAAAAGCATATTCTGCTATTCCACCACTGCACTTGTCATATATGAGAAGATGGTTAAGGGCTAAATTGGTGCATTTCTCTCTGTATTAACCACTAATACAGTTTGGGGAACAATCATTTAATTTTTATTGGTCTATCACTGTCAAATGCAATTTTACGTTCCAAACCTTGAACTAAGAAAGTACAAAACTTTAAAATGCCAAAGATGTAGGTAGAGATGCGTCTGCATGTATAATGTTGCCTTTCTCAACATTTATCTGCCATGATAACTCCAGTATCTAGCCTTAGAAAAAGCTAGGTGATTGGTTTAGGACAATCCCACTAAAAGTCAACCCATTAGTTTATTAAGGTGCATGATTAATCAGTTTGATGAACTACACATAAGCTACACATCTGAATTATTTGAGCTTCATAATTTCACAAAAAAATTGGTAATATCAGATCCATACTTTAAAGCTATAGATTTTCTTTTCATTTGACTTCTTTCCTTGGCTTGCTTTGCTGTTCTCTGAAAAAAAGAGAATAATTAGATAAAATGCATTTCATATCAACATATACTGTACAGAGAAACTGGCACTGATTACAGCATCTTGATTAGACTGCAAAAGTGGTAACTTTTAAGATGGTCTAACATATATTGTCTACCTGCATTACAGAACTGCATTGCATCTAAAGTAAATAACCTTCGGAGCGCAGTTATCTGCTTGGCAAATGAGAGAATTTGCCAACTTTTAAGAATCAAGGAAATGCAAAAGAATAACTGGTAGAGAAATTGACTACAGGGCAAAGAATAAATAGGTCTAAGGATAATGTTTGATCAAACTGCTGGAGGCAGTGGAAGACAGGAGTGCCTGGCATGCTCTGGTCCATGGGGTCACGAACAGTTGGACACGACTAAACAACAACCTGCATAATGTTGAAGGGTTGTGTCAGAGTATTCTGTACTCACCTCCTTGTGGCAAACCGTACACAATGTTTGAAGATTTTCCAGGGAACACTGTCCTCCTCCACCATAAACTGGCTTTATATGATCCACTTGCCAGAACTGACCTTCAGTTGGGTTCTGTATAATTTCATTTAACTGCAATTAGATAGGACATTAGATAAGCTACTAAGCCTTTACCAATTAGGAACGAGCTTGTACATACCTTTCTACCTCCTCTCATGATTTGGCTTAATCCAGGCATAGGCAAACTCAGCCCGCCAGATGTTTTGAGAGTACAATTCCCATCATCCCTGACCACTGGCCCTGTTAGCTAGGGATGATGGGAGTTGTAGTCCCAAAACATCTGGAGGGCAGAGTTTGCCTATGCCTGGTGTTAAGGTACCAAGGGGTTGCTCAAGAGCAAGTAGGCAAATGCCTCCCTGCTCGGCTGTGGAGCCTTGCTTTTGATGCCAAAATAAACTTTCTCTGTGCAGAGCGCCACTCTCCCGTGGCTGGCTCATTCACTGGCAGAATCTGTGAGTGGGCGGTCCTTAAACCTTCCCCAGCAGAGTAGTTTCTTGACGCCCAATCTGCGCCTACCCTCTCAGCGTGGAAGTCTACTGCGCAGGGAGGGTGTGGGTAACGGAGGACCTCTCTCCTCCCCGCTTTGCCCAGGCAAGGTGTCCTGGCACCGCCTCGCCTCCTCCGAGCCCTGAAGCTCCTCTCCACTGGAGGCGTAGTTACTCTCCTCCGCTGAGGAGGTGCTGCTTCCCATGATCTTTGGGGGCTCTCTGTAATCCATCTGGCTTTCCCCCTCTCGCTCCTGAGCCGATGGCAGTTCCTTGACACCTGGCTTAATCAAACACTTACTGGTTAGTCAAACCAATCTGCCATAACATCCAAACAACAATTAACAATCCTAGTTGAAGGAATCACAAAAACTACAGTTTGCCAGTTCAGATGTAATGCCAAACTGTGGTTCTGTTAATCTAAAGCCATGAGGAAAAATGATGGTGCATAGACACATACAGCTTGTTGTCAATCCTCCAGAAGATCTGAACGTGGACTTCTAAATGTAGCTAGTACACACATCCTTACTACCAGAATATCAATATGTATTGGGGGGGAATCATACCCCAACTCTTGGTTCTATGAACATGAAATAGGGTGTCATCTAACTAAAGTTGTTCAAAATGTTAATGGTTTTAGATACATATGTAAAGAGCAAAAGGTAAATAAATATACATGTGGTGGCTATTGGACCAGGTCTGTTGTTCTTAGATTAGAGAAGAGGAAGTTGACAAGTTATAATGAACCTAGTGTTAAGATCAAGTGATACTCTTTAACACCTTTTGAAATTTAGCCTTTTAGGTTCTTGGAAATAGTGTTAAACCAGTTTAAACAATTGTAACAACAAACTGTGTCTTCACAGTGTAGTTTGCTGGCAGAATACAGGTGACAGGCTGGGTTTGCGTGCTGATAGTTGGACTATGCAAATACTGGCTTTGAAAGGCTTCAAGAGCCATAAGCCTTCATCTTCTAAAGGAGGAGGTGATTTTATAACATAACATGCTCACAAACTTAACTTTTACTTGCAGAAAGTGAGGCCTGCAGCTCAGCACTGAATGCAAGGAATCTTTACAGCTATGGCTTAAGATTCTTCCTTTGAAATTGAATCACCTGATGTCATATCTGAGTTGGCTGACAGGTGGGGGATCCCACCCACCTGTTCAAAGTAGCTTGGATCCAGTTCCCTATTCCTGATTGGTAACTGACTAAATCCAACAGCACATTTTACCTGAGCTAAAGGAAGCTTGGACATCCAGGAGCTCTCCAGAAGATTTTTACGGTGATTCTTTGGGGCATCTCTGACACAAAGGTAGAGTTCCTGGGCATTCAGACAACACTTCTGACAAACCCCATGTTCTATCTCAAATACTTTAGTTCTCAAGTAGCTTTGGCTAGTGCGAAATAAGAAGTTATCATGACACTTATGAGAACAAAACCGTGTGTCACAGGCAGTTGAGGTGGACTTCTGCTCAATCTGGACTGCTGGCATTTGGCAGCTAAGACAAAGTGGATTTCCTTCATTATCTACAGCTTGCAAGTAGCCTTTGCCTAAGGTGGGCTCCTCAACAGAATCAGCCTGACTAGAGCCTGATATGAGGGCTGGGCAGTTCCCATCTTCTGAAGCCAACCTAAAGATAAAACAGGTCAGTTATTTGGGTGCAAGAACGATTTCCCCATTTTGTTTTTTTTATTTTAAAGAATTTGTAACCCACCATTAAGTTTTCAGGGCACCTTCCATAATTAAATTTCAATTATACAATATAAGGGGGTGGGGAAGAAGTCGAAGAAGCTTAACATAACCAGAGTTAAAAGCCTGGGAAAATAAAAAAGGTCACCTTGCACTGAAGACATAAAAAATGCTGCCAGGTAAGTCTCTCTGGTAATGCTCAGGCATTACGAGCAAGAATGTGCTCTCTCAGTTGCCACCTGCTTCCTCTTAAGATAGGGAAGTTAACCAGAGGCTCTTGGAAGGTGACAAATGTACAGGCACATATAGGTGTAGGCATTCCTTCAGGTCCACATTGTGTATGCTTTGAAGGTAAGCATCAGCACTTCAGAAACAGACCAGGAATCAATAGAGTTCTTTAAGCACCAGCAAGCATAAGGGTCAAAACTCTGGGATGTATCCCGTCTCATATAGTAACTCCAATTAATGCATGAAAGTGTTAGGACCATAGAGTAAGCTGTCCTGCTAAGTCACACCCACTCACCTTGGGAGCAAGGGCTATCAAACTCTCTGATCTCTCACTTTACACCATGTGAACCCTACCAGTAAGGATGTCTGGGCTGGTTGCTCCAAGCCTAGACCATGTGGCTTTAGCAAGACAGCTTTGTGTTTCTGTACAAACAATATAGAAACATTTACACCTTGGAACTAACCTAGCCTATCTTTTCTTGCTGCTGTATGGAAGAGCACATGAATCTAACCTTTGAGAAGTTTGTAAGTAAACCATCTTTTAACTTGCCAAATGTGGTCTCTTTCTAAGCTAAGGGAAGTGGGAACTTGAACCTTTAAAATATCCCCTTCTAACAGCTTGTATTTCCATGCTTTGCTGCATGTTTTGTGATTTTAAATCCCTGCTGGGGCTCTATCACTAAAGAGTTCTAGCCCCAACATGGATCATAGGCACACAAGGAATTCTCTTTTTATTATACCACTAAAGTATTTTCCCTTTAACCAAAATACTAATTAAAACCACCAAAAACTCTGTAGTAGAATGTCTGCTTTGGATGCACAAACTCCCAGATTCAATCCATGGCATCTTCAGGTAGGGCTGGAGGAGACTTCTCTATCCGAAGTGCTAGAGAGCTGCTGCCAGTCAATGTCAAAATTACTGGCCAAGAGGACCAATTACCTGTCTCGGCATAAGCAGTTTTCTATGTCCTTCATGATACGCTCCTGGCAAACAATCCCAGTTATTAACTTTGCTGCTGTCTTTCTCACCAATTGCAATTGCTGGGCTGTCTTCAAAGACAGCTCCATTAACAACACATTGCAGTAATTTAGCCTGGAGGTTACCAGGGCATAGATAACCATCACAAAGCTCTGTCTAGGAGGGGCCACAGTGACTGTACTCAGCTGCAGAAAGGTGCTTCAAGTTACAGATGCCACTGGAACTTCAATAGCTAGGTCTATAAGCACCCTCATGTTGCAGACATCTATTTTAAGAGGAGCACAGTGCCATTCAGAACACCACCACCCTGAACAGATGAACCACCCACCAAAAGTACAGTGGTACCTCGGGTTAAGTACTTCATTTGTTCTGGAGGTCTGTTCTTAACCTGAAACTGTTCTTAACCTGAAGCACCACTTTAGCTAATGGGGCCTCCCACTGCCACCGTAGCACGATTTCTGTTCTCATCCTGAAGGAAAGTTCTTTTTTTTTTAAAATAATATTTTATTAAGTTTTCAGAAAAAAGAAATAAGCAAGCATATATCAAACATAAAAGACATAACTATCACCTATATATAAAAGAGAAAAAAGAAAAAAAGAAAAAGAAAAACACAGTTTTTCATACATATGTTCCATAACCATCTGGACTTCCTCATGTTTCCCTTTCCTGCGTTCTCAATATAAAAGTTATGTTCAGCAGTTTATTACCTTCTTTCAAATCTTATATTCTAATTCTAATATGTTATGCCTCTAGTTTTAACTACCGGTAAATCCATCAAATATTTAACTGCTTAATTTAAGCATAACTTTACTTCAGATCTCATCAAAACTTATCTGAAGGAAAGTTCTTAACCCGAGGTACTATTTCTGGGTTAGTGGAGTCTGTAACCTGAAGCGTATGTAACCTGAAGCGTATGTAACCCGAGGTACCACTGTACTTCCATTTTGTTTGGATTCAGCTTCAATTTATTGGCCCTCATCCTACACTAAAGGGCTCATTTAACTTTTCCACCGCTTCATTTGCAAAGACAATTACCATCATCCCTGGTCGTTGGTGACGCTCACTGGGGCTAATGGCAGTTGTAATGGGAAACTACTTTAATGTTAGATAAAAATCAGTTTTGATTAACAAAGGTGCCCAGCTGTCCAGAACTGACTAACAGTTTGAAAATGAGGGACATGGGGCTTTCTCCAATGTTGCCATTTCTTTTGTACATTCGACCAGAGCAAAGGAACGTCCTCAGGCCTGCATCCCCCCCAATGCACTCCAAAAAAGCTGTATGGAGAGCCTCTAGATCAAGGATAGGGGAGGAAGTCTCACTGCATTAGCAGATGCAACCTACTGAAATCAGTGTTACCTTGCATACTTGAAACTTACTTTGTAGAATTGCTGTCCTTTTCCCCAGCAGAGGCAGTGTGGGCATTTAAGGCAACTGGGGTTTTTTTAGTAACTATACGAACACTGCCCCCAGTACTGTCAGCCTTCTTTAGTGAAGCTTTTGCTACATCCTCTTTTGTTATGTACCTAGAAACATGGGAAACATTTCTTTTTTAGTTTGTGGGTCAATGCAAAACACTGAGATGCAGAATTCTTGAGGAAATGCCCACCTCAAGGTAATCCCTGTTTTCCACATGCAATCTGGAAAACTATCATTTCCAGCAGCTTTCTCTGTTCTATTTTAAATAAAATCCATTATTACATTGATATGAATACTATCATCAGGGTGATGAATTACTTAATTTTCTATTGTAATAACATAGGGATTCTTGAGTTCTGAATCCTTTGGCACTGTTTTTGCTAAACCTATTTCTCTCACTGTTCCCCACATTTTATCATGCAAAATCATGAAGAGCCTACTACAGTGGTGCCCCGCAAGACGAATGCCTCGCAAGACGGAAAACCCGCTAGATGAAAGGGTTTTCCGTTTATGAGTTGCTTTGCAAGACGATTTTCCCTATGGGCTTGCTTCGCAAGACGAAACGTTTTGCTAGTCTTGCGTTTCCCCCCCCGCTTCCCCCCCTTTTTCTAAGCCGCTAAGCCGCTAATAGCCTTTTAGCAGCTTAGCCGCTAATCCTTTAATAGCCGCTAAACCGCTAATAGCGCTAATCTGCTTAGCCGCTAATAGGGTTGCTTCGCAAGACGAAAAAACCGCTAGACGAAGAGAATTGCGGAACGGATTCTTTTCGTCTTGCGAGGCACCACTGTATATCAAACCAACAGAGTTAAAACTAGCTTGTAATTTAAATCATGTTTGCATCATTAAGGTGATTTATTTCCCATCCCTCTACCAGAGTGAAAAAGAGGCTGTTAGCACACACCGTTTGGTACTGCTGAGCTTGGCTTGTTGTTTTGACAACAGCTCTTCAGCAGCAAGAATGGGGCTAGAAAATAGCTGGCCACTTTTCCTGATAATTCTCTGCTTCATGGCTGTTAGACCACTCCATTCTCTTACAAACCTCAGTATCTGGAGGAGAAAATACAAAACATAATAAAGTCTGATACCTGTAAGCTCTTGCTCTTTGAGAGTTCTTCACACACTGTATTCCAGAAGACATATTTAATGCTGGCTGGCAATATATTTTTAAAAGTATCTTTATGGAGCATAAATATAAGAAAATACACAGAGAATGCATACAAGATAACTCACAAAAGTACAGGCCCATACTAGTGTGATGCTTGAGACTGAATGTTATCTCCCAACCTCTCTAAATTAGGAGTGTATATGGCATGCAGCAGAAACAAGAAATTTTGCCAAATCCTCCCCCTGCTCTCATATTGAGGCCCCTCTCAAACAGCTGTGTGCTCCTCTTGCCAGCAAAACAAGCACAGCAGCAAAGAAGACCCAACATTTCTTTCCCCACCCTCACATTTTCAAAAAGTTCCTCAGGCAGCTGCCTGCTGCCTGTTCCATCTGCCTGGCAGGCAGCAAAATGAGTGACAGACAATTCCCATGCTTCTTCCCCCACCCCAATCTCATGTAGCTGCTTGCGAATTGATCTAGGTGGCTGGCAGGCAGCAAAATAAAACAAATAAAGCAGCAAATAGGTGGAACCTGTACATCTTGTCATAACTATTTCCATACTAGAAAATACTTAACCTGTTGAATTTGTGCTTGCCATACAGCTGTTAAAGGCACAAGAATCATTTTCTCCCAACAGCAACTGAACAAAAGCCTAAGCTTCTATCCTGTATTCAACTACCTGGTACTAAGCCCTATTAAACACAAAGAAACTTACTTTTGAGTAGACATGTATACCACTGTACTGAAAGTTAGCTAGGAGCTAAATGGCACCTTAAACCTAGGTTATGGGCACAACAATGTGTCTAGGCATGCTTTTTTATAACAAGAATACAAAGCTGAAAATGAATGAACTGCAGCTAAAATATTATGTTCACTTTTCACATGGTCTAGTCCTTCCCCTGCCCACCTCTCTAATATTCTTAAGAGGGTCTATTCTCCAGTCTCTGAGTAGCTGGAAGTGCAGAATGTGCCTAGAACAGCGGGAGTTTAGAACACTGACCCCCCACCCCACCCCACCATAGCCCTGTTTTGTACCCATCTTGATGCGTTTTCCTGACTGGAATGTGTTAACAGTTTAAAACCAAAATGAACAGGAACAAAAGTTAATTCTTAATGTTATTTGCATGCACCCTGTGAAGTCTTGCTGTTTTATTTTTAAACCCTTTCTCTACCCATTATATAGCAGTGCTAAAGTATTATTTTTCTAAAAAAATGACTGATGACTGACAACGGAATAGAGTTCCTAATTCTGCAGATGGGCAATTTAATTATGCACTTGAGTATATGCACAGACAAGGGAAGTGTGATATTCCTCCCCCCCAAGAAACACATTCCACTAAAAAAAGCAATTAAGATCTGTATATGCCTAGCTAACAATTGAAAACCTGACACCAAGGCAGAACATTTTGTTACTTAAATGGAAAACTGCAAGCATACACCCTGGGCATTATTTATAACTGCAGCAATTGATCTTACCAATGAACGGTTCTGTTTTTGCAGAAAGCATGCTGGTAAATCTTCCCAGTTATCCAATTTTATATCCAGCGGAATGAAGTTACAATTCAGGGGCTCCCCATCCTAGATGGATCAAATAAATGTTTTTAAGTCTCCTAAATCAAGAAGGTATTCGGTTATCTGAAGGTTTCAAGGAAGTTGGTGATTTTCCTACCATAAATTTATCTTCAATTACTCATCAGAACTGCTTCTTACAATAAACCAACAAAAAAATTCATGGACCTATCATTTGCCTCACTGCAGTTGCACTGCCAACATTCTAGTTTGCTGATACCTTAGCCCTGAGCAGTAGAAATGTTTATGAACCATCCCATGACATCAAAGATGATGAGACAATGACAGATGGTCCTACAGCATAAGACCATTTTAACCTACTCTAGGATGTACTGATAATTTTTCATTTCTACAGAAAAGAAGCCTACTTTAAACCACATTAAATATATTACACTGAGAGACAGAGAGAGAGAGAGAGAAGAACCCAACAACAGGCCATGAACAAACAAGTTGTTTGTAGTGTGTTTTCCCCATTGTTAGGACAGAAGCTCCCAATACAACAGTGAATGCAATGACTTGGATCTAACAGGGACCAGCATGACCGCAAAGGCAATTTTGCTTTCATGGGATATGTCCCCAATTTCTGCCAATCCTCTCCTCTCATGGTGTCCCCATTGATTTCTGCCAAATCCCTCTTCCTATAAAACACAACTCAAAACTGCACTCAAAAGAATATTGTAAAGTTTTTGCTGGTTTGATGCCTTGATTATTTGCGGGTGCGGGGTGCGTTACTTCATGACTTGCCCTTGCTTCATGACAAATTCCCCAGGCTTACAACTTGTTACGGAGCAAGGGGAAGCCGTGAAGCAACACATCCCACTCCTGCAAATAAACAAGGCATCAAACCAGCAAGGCTTCACCATGTTCTTCTGAATGCAGTTTTGAGTTGTGTTTTATAGCAAATACTGCCAATCCCCGTTCCTGTCACAACTTCCCACGCTGCATCCCCTTTCAGGGAGTCCTTAGGAATGTCTTTTGGGAGAGAACAGCAGGCTACAGAAGGGAGAAAAGGGCAGGAACCATTGCATAATCTTCCATGTTGGACTGAAGCAAACAACAGCAGCAGCACCCTACCACTGTGTAGACGTGAATTCTGTCTGTGTTCCTACTTGCACAGAACCTCAGGCTAGAATATGCTGGGAATGATTCCGAGTCTTCTGTATGCTCTATAAATAAAGGTGAAATGACTTTCATCAAAACTCATTCCCCTTTCTTCTCCTTAGGGCAGATTAGACAATATAGCACAGGCATGCTCTACCCAATGAGCAGGAAAGCTCTCACTCCTCCTCCACCACCAGTTTGTGTCAAGCTTTAGTTTTTATGAACCAGCATGGCAATCTCGTGGCATAATCACTTTTGTGTAGGACAGTTGTGCCAAACACAAGTGAGACATGAAACACTGGCATAGCAGAGTCTCGAGGCAACTTGCGCCAGGTCTAAGTCTCAGCAGTGGCCTTTGGGAGTGAGGGTGTGGGCAAACGGACCCTTGATTGGTTTTCTATATTAAACAGCAGAGTGTTTCGTGGCACATTTTTTTAACTTTGTCTCACTTTGCTAAACGTAAGTAAGCTTTAATTGTTTACAAAAATTTTCCTTAAAGAAGCACATATTAAAAACGTTGTTCATAATATGCCCAAATTGCTAGAATAGAAACCACAATTCTGTAAAGAACCCCCAAATCTACTGGGAGCAACTGCTTCACCATCTCTGAACTCTCACAAGGCTTTTTTCATGTGCAGAATTATTTGTGATCTCAGAGATGTATATATAAGGCATATTTTATTCACACACACACATTGTGGGTGGCATTCAACATACTGAAATTAATGGACTTAACTTAGTCATCTTTATCAATATCACTGGGTCTACTCTGAACAAAACTTAGTTGAATATCCCCCTTTGATTCCCCACTTCTGGGGCTCTTGCAAATATTCTGCATGTACTGATCCCCCCGAGAGTGGGAATACACAATAAAATGTTAGTTGATACACAGAATGACATGCTCACCACAAGGTAGCTATGCTCCAGAAGGAAATCAGTTTTCCTTACCCACTCTGAGCTCTTGTTCACAACAGTTAGATTGCTCATTTATGTCTTCCTTCGTTCCACTGGACATCCCAGTCAGTGGTTGCTCTAGGATATTTCTCCGGCAACTTTTATGGGCTGTTCCTCCTGCATCATTAAGGTTTATAATCTCTCGGGCTGCGCTTTCTTCCCCAATCCCCGGAGAAACAGAATTGCTGATCTGGCTTTCGTTCTTTATACCTATACATGTTTAAAAAACAAACACCACAAAAACAGTAGCAAACTCTCCCTTACACATAGGTCGATAGGTAACAGCAAAGCCTACAGCGCATTCCTAGCAAAGTCCACTAGTTAGCTCTTAAAAGAAGAGTTGCCAACACAACCAATTATACAGACAATTCTCCATAGAGAAGGCCATAGCTTGTGCCTGCTGACTCTTTACCTCCTAGTACAGAGTGGCATTAGACAGGATGATGCTATACAGTCACCCAATGCAGAAAAAACTTTTATGTTTGGTTGCTGCCACATGATTGGCAACTCACTGCATAGGCTTCATGAACAGCAACCTTGGCTTTGATCCTAATGTGTGCGAAACAAGCTTCATTCCTGAAATGAAGACCTTCTCCCCTCTTTCCCACTGTTTGTCCATCAGAAACCTGCTCCAGTGTGTTTGAGGCCCTCAAGAGAAGAATTAGATATGGGAGATGCTATGGGATAAGGGCTGCAGCAGGAAGAGGGAGACTGGGAGCCATCATGAAGTCTTCTTGTACAGGCTGAAATGCTGTTCTGCCTGTGCAGGCAGGGGAGAGCTTTGGATCCAAGCCCTTATACTGAAAAACAAATTCAATCGGGGGGACAGAGAATTCTGCAGCTGCAACAGTAAAGTGTGGTAGATTTGACAGCCCTGTTTGGGAGGTTCAAACAGAGGTAGAGGTAGGAAGGCATTGAGCTTCTCTGTGTACAAGGTGGACATATGGCAAACAACATGCAGATAAAATCCAAACTTAAAAAAATGAACAAAACCTTATATAAATTTAAGTTTGGATTTAGGGATGTTAGGTATCCTTTATAAATATAAAATGCCATATATCCTTTCAAAGTCAATTTCCAATAAAATGACCCATCTTATAATAAGGTAATTAAGTGAGATAGCTACAGTGCATTGTATGACCAAGAATAGTAATAAAATACACGTGTTTCATGGACTTGTGGAAAGAAGTGTTATTTCCTGAAGAGGACTGGGAAAAGTAAGGTGCCAAGGAAATTGAATTTCTACTACAAAGCATTACATTTACACCATGGTAATATCAGAGGCACCCATTGCCACTGAATGTATGGCATGTTATAATTTATAGGCAAAGTGAAGATTTTGGAAGCTTTTTCTGAAAATTTTAAGACAAATAGTCACAAGTTTTCCTTCAAATACTTCATATTTTTAAGCATCCTTTCGTGCCATTTTTAAAAATGGCTTTTTTTAAAAAAGGAGATCTTAATTGGAGCACAGGGGCTTACTTACTGTTCTTTCTCCGAGGAGATTCACACATTTCACAATAAGGCAGCAGTGAATTATTACTGAAAGTGCAGAGGCTGCAGCGCCAGGTTGCCTCAGAAGGGCATCCTTTGCTTGAATTCGGTAACGGTGTGCCAAAACCTTCTTGTGTGGTTTCTTCTGTAACGGGAAGGTTTGTTTTTCCAAATGAAGAGTTCCTCTTTTTCTCAGGAGAGCTCTTTGGAGTCGATGGCGGTAAAGCTCTTGGTCTCTTTGCTTCTCTACAAAGCAAATCCTTCTCAACAAGTTTCTCAGAGTCCAAAGAACCACCATTTGCCTGGTCCTTCTCAGTGGAGGCTTGAGAAGAAGCTGGACTGAAGTCTGAAGCCTTATCGCAAGACGGAGTTTTTCGCTTTTTTTCAGCATTTGGTTTTGGTGAAAGGAAGGCACGAATATCATGCTGCTTTTCCTTTTCAAACTAGGGCAGATAATAAAACACCCATTACATCTCTTTCATTGCAAACTATTGTCTCATTCTTCCATTTCTTAATTTATTAACCTTCCCAACTGCAGCGTTTCCCCAACAAGTAGTCTTTTAATACAACAAATTTCAAGAGGAAAAACTTGACATATCAAGAAAATTATTAGGACCAATATTCCAATCTGGTGGATTCTAGACTACTTCCTAACCTATTGTTGTGTTTATTATTTCTGGCAAGCTGTCAGTGCAACACTCAAAAAAGTTTATGTTCTGTCTTGCTAAGATATGGCTTCCCATGAAAGACACATCATCAGGTATGCGTTAAATGCATTAATTTAGTTTATGAATTTAAATTTTATTAATTTGATTCATGCTACTGAGAAAGTCGGATGCTACATGGGAGACCAGCAAAGTACAACACCAGCTTCAACTGCTGCAGTGAAGCCAATGGCTGAAGCCTGGTGTCATGATAAAATCATGGGATTGGCATGGTATTCAACTACATTTTACTCATGGCAGCCATGCAGAAATCAATAAACATAAGTTAGGCCCATTAAGGTCGATGGGTCAACTCTGAGTAAAATTTATTGCAAAGGCAGAAAAGCTTTTTCAGTCCAACGACAGCATTATCCTGGGGGCCCATGCCAGTGGTAGATGGGAGCAAAAGTGGCCTGAGCAGTAAATGTGGCTTACCTTTATACAGTAGACTACATTCCAGCTACACAAAAAGCAGAGCTTTTACCCAACACCAAGACAAGTAAGATACATTGCCACTTGAGGAGAGGCAGGACCAGTGAGAGGTATGGCCTACTGAAAGTCTTGAGGGACATGTAAAGAAATCCTGAGGCCTGAGCTTCCCAATTTTGAGATTATTATGATGGGAACAAGCCTAGCCTCCCCCCCCCCTTGAGGTCTTGTGTTGCCCTTCACCTGCTCTGGTATGGCTTCAAGGTGTTTAGAAGGTTTCAGTGTGATTTTTGGATTAATTACAGCTTCTCGAGTCATCAAAACCTGACAAACAGTGGTTAAATGTAACAATTTTGTTTGTTTGGAATAAGTCAGCTTTCAGCCACGGTTTATAAAAATGGTTTGTTTCAACAAACCCCAGTTAAGATGAATACAGTGGTACCTCAGGTTACATACGCTTCAGGTTACAGACTCCGCTAACCCAGAAATAGTGCTTCAGGTTAAGAACTTTGCTTCAGGATAAGTACAGAAATTGTGCTCTGGCGGTGCGGCGGCAGCAGGAGGCCCCATTAGCTAAACTGGTGCTTCAGGATAAGAACAGTTTCAGGTTAAGTACAGACCTCCGGAACGAATTACAGTAAGTACTTAACCTGAGGTACCACTGTAATAGCTTGGATGACATACTAAGCTGTGGTTAAACAAAAGGTGAAGGTGAAAGCTTCTAATTGTGGTTGCATGGAAGAGAAGAGAGGCATGGTGCTCGTTCCAGAATGGTAGCCAATATCCCCATCCCAGCCAAAGTCCATAGTTATTTTTGCAGTTTACAAACGGTTCTTACTTGACTCATAGGCTAAATAGATCTTCACAATACTGTAACTGCATGCAAATGATTAATGTTCCCAGCTTGGTCAAAGGAATCACACAGTCAAAAACATATTAACTTTAATTGCCATTATGGTTATTATAACACAGTTGGAGTCATGTTAAATTGCTTTGGATTTGCATGCCATCTTGGGTCTCAGAACCTGAAACCTAAGAACAAATCTCCCCCTTCTTGTATTATGCTTAAATGAACCACCTAACTGCAAAGCCATTTCTGCATATTAAAGTAAAAGGTTATATGTATCCAATCTGGCAGCATATGCACATGCAGCTTTTCTGTACTTAAGATTAACCAAACTGCCTTATAAAGCCACAGGCTAATTGATGTATCATACAGACAACATATTGAGTACTCAAATTAGTCTGGCACAGAGCGGTGAACCGCTCTGCAGTCATTCCAAGGGTATTATCCATATTTACAATGAGGCTACTGCTTGAAGAAGTGGATTTTGGCTGTACCAAATCTGTTGAGGATCCTTTTTGGGTATGATATACTGATAAATGGCAGCAGGATGCACTACATTTGCTGCACAGTAGTAACCAGTGACCTGGCAAAATCCCAGGTGAGTTAGCACCATAATAAATCTATAGGGTGTTTTTTTTAAAAACAACAACCAACAACCCTAAAAAGTACGAAATGAATGTATTCACACAGAAGTTATAGCAAACTCCTAGTCAGTTCACAAACTGTTGATGAGATTTTGGAATCAAATTACAATAGCTGATATAAACTGAAGGAACAACTTCCAAACACTCATACAACCACTCACCAAATTATTATGGTAGGTAGCTGTATTACAAAGCAGAGATCAGAAGCAACATTTAATAATAATAATAATAATAATAATAATAATAATAATAATAATAATAATATCTTTATTGTCATTGCCCCCTCTCGGGGACAACGAAATTACTTGGCTGCTCCATCCACCCAGGTAGGGCACTCCACACAAAATCAAAACAACTATAAAAACACTAATTAAAACAATACAATATAATACAGCAAGGAAGATTAGATGACTTTCAAAGTCCAGGCTTCCCATTCAGGGCCGAGATCGCTCTGGAGAAGAAGCTGTTCTTAAGACGGCTCGTTCTTGTCTTCATCGTCCTGTATCTCCGTCCCGACGGCAGGAGCTCGAAGAGACAGTGACCAGGATGCGATGGATCTTTTACTATGTCCAGTGCCTTCCTATGGCACCTTGTGGCATAAATCTGCTCTAAGGTGGAGAGTGGGCAGCCAACAATGCTCTCTGCTGCCTTAACAACTCTGCACAACCCCCTCCTGTCCTGGGTAGTACAGCTTCCGTACCACACACATAAGCCATAAGTGAGCACGCTCTCAATGGCACAGTGATAGAAGGCAAGCAGCAGTTTCTGCGGAAGATGGTTTTTCCTTAGAATTCTCAAAAAGTACAGTCTCTGCTGCGCAAATCAAACAATCAAACAAATAAAAAAAATCAAACAAATTTTCTTTACTATAAAAAATTATGAAGGGCGGTATTCAGCAAAGTTTTACTGAGAATAGATCTGCTGAAATGAATGAAGTTAATACCTCAAGGGACCATTTCTCTCCATATGAACCAACCTGGACCCTGTGATCATCATCAGAGGCCATTATTTGCCCCCTCCATGAGGGATCTGGAGGGTGGCAATATGAGGACAGGCCTTTTCCGTGGGGGCTCCTCATTTGTGGAATTCTCTCCCTAGGGCGGCTCTCCTGGCACCTTCATTACCTATCTTTAGGCACCAGGTAAGAACATCCCTCATTTCCTAGGCTTTAGACTAATTAAACAATCCTTGGCCTTTTAAACAGTCTGTGTATGGGGTTTTTATTGCTTTGTTTGCTACTGTGTTATGTATTTTTTGTGTTTTTATACTGTGCCCTGGGATCCTCGGACGAATGGCAGTATGTAAATTTAATAAATAAGTACATAAAAATAAATAATGAACTTAACTTAGTCACCGTCATTAATTTCAATGGCTCTATACTCTAAGTAAAACTTAGTTGACTGCCACACTAAGTATGACTGTGGCAGTGATCATGAAATTACTATTTTGTGCGCATATGTATCTCTAATTGGTGCCCTAGCATCCATGGAAGTGATCTGATTCATGTACTCAATTCTCCCTCCCTCCCACAGATCAGCTTCTTTCAGACAAAGAGAGAGAGAGAAAGGGCACACACAAATACACTTCACTTTTCCAAAGGATTTATGTAAAAGCCAGACCCAGTATGATTAATATGAGCCTTGAAATGCCATAGAGTTCAAACAGGAAGCGGGAAAGAGCACCATTTTCAAATTCCTCCTTCAGCGTTTTGTATTTTGCAAGGGAGAAAAAGGGGGTGGTGGGTCTCCAAGGCTTTGTAGACACCGGGGGATATTTGAAGCTTACAATGGTGCCACGTTGGCAATATCTGTACTGTATTAGCAGATGTCTCTGCCAGATCAAAAGTGTTTTGACAAGTGCACGGGTACCAATTGGATAGTATCCATACAGATTGACATACGTTCAGGCGCAAAATAAGCAAACAAATGGCTGCAATTAAACTAAAATGAAGGGCATGTGTATGCATGTATACGCATTTCTGTTATAATCATTAAGACGTGAAAGTGCTTATTGGCAATGGAAGTCCCAGGTGGGTTTCATGGTTTCGGGTCATTTGAACAGAATAAAGATGGACAAACTATTTGAAGACAGCTAATAAAAGTTTAAATTGTCCAATTTGTTTTTAGATTTTTTAAAAAAATCAAATTGTGAAACAACCCAGACTTGTCCAACAACAAGAGAATATAGGTACATATAGGATGTCCTGTGAATCTCAGGTACTAACATGCCTGCAAACCAAAGCAGGAAGTATAACTATGTAGTCCTGGCAAAATGGCAATTCAAATTACATCTCATGTGAATGCCCAGACTTCAGAAATATGTGAACATGTTAAGCACCACACATGATCTCTTTTTGTACTTAAAGGTAAGGGGACCCCTGACCATTAGGTCCAGTCGCGGACGACTCTGGGGATGCAGCACTCATCTTGATTTACTGGCCAAGGGAGCTGGCGTACGGCTTCCAGTCATGTGGCCAGCGTGACTAAGCAGCTTCTGGCAAACCAGAGCAGCGCACAGAAACACTGTTTACCTTCCCGCCAGAGCGGTACCTCTGGGACCAAGCAACGGGAGCTCACCCCGTCGTGGGGATTCGAACTGCCAACCTTCTGATCGGCAAGCCCTAGGCTCTGTGGTTTAACCCACAGTGCCACCCGCGTCTTTTTGTACTTACGTGAGTGAATAAAACTTCATTCTTTATCTCGTTTAGGTTTTCATTTGGGATCCATGCTTCAGCAAAATTCAAGAAATTCCACTTCTCTTTGTCACCTTCTTGCGCCTGCAGTTTTTCTTTCTTGCCATTTAGTGCGGTCCCAGTAACATTGACCTGCAGGCAGAAAGATTAAAAACGGTTTCACACTTGACAACATAACTTCATCCCATGCTTGTCTAGGGATGAAGCCCTAGGTGCATAGGGCTGGGGCATAGTAGTTTTGGGGTCCAGAACCTATTCTTTCCTACCCCAAACCAATGAACTTGCTAAGCCTCTTCTAATGCCAGAGCAGGGGCAGCAGTAGGCACCCCCTTTGTCTCAGAAGCAAAATCAATTCTACTTCTGGATGGAAAAAAACAATTGAGAAACGATCTGTTCCATCAGGCAGGAGAGAAAAAACCTGAGGGGACTGAGCCTGCCTCCCAGAGTCCTTTGCTCTCCTGCCTCCGTCACGTGACGAGGGTTGCTACCCAACCCATTCGGTTCATCATCAACTGCCTAAAATAAGCAATTACATTTCCAAAGGTGAAGATTCCAACCAGACTGCATGCCCTATGCCCCCTGGTTATGTAGACTAAATAAATTGTATTACAACAAATAACATGTCTTAAAATAAATAGTATTTTATTATTTACTACTATCTATCTTACTGCCATTGGCCATGCTTGCTTGGGGGGCGACGGGCGTTGCCCATGGCCAAGTAGTTGAGCAACATCTGGAGGGTCAAAGGTTCCCCACACCTGCTTTAAGTTTACCTGAGGGAATCCTGTTGTGGATTTCTCTGCCATCTGAAGTACACGGCAGATGGCTACAAGGCTGACAGCCTTCCCAGTATTTATGGCGCTCTGTACACAAGAAGGACTAGCAGGACTAGCTCATGTTCCAGGTTTTAGGAGGCTTCCAGACACTGTGCTTTAGAAGTCCTTCTGTCAGCCATAAACAGATCAAAGGGAAGCATAGGCTATAGATAATATCTGTTGCTGACTTGTTGAAACGGGCTTTTGTAAAGTGAATTTTAGAAAGCGTCACTGGCTATGTGTTTTAGTGGTGATATTTATATGGTGGTTTTAAAACTGAACCACTTCAGAAGTATATGCATAGAAGTAAGGTATAAATAGGTAAAAAATGAGAAGCAAAATTTCATTTAAACTTATTGTGTGTACCAGTACCTCTGTCATGTGTCTTCTCTGACTTCACTGTTGAGTCAGGTTTACGGATACAAAACTACTTGTCAGTCTTATATTCTTCTTAATGGTTCAGTTCATCTTGTTTTCAAATTCACCTTTTAGTCATCAAAGCTAGATTTTTGGCTTTACTTTCCACATGCTACCCAATATATTTAGACCTAAAATGGTTTTGAGGAAGTTTTAGCTTTGGTACTAATGCTTTATAAACACACAAACTTTATTAACAGGACATTCTCAACTGTCTTACCTGTTTGTTTGTTTGTTTGTTTGTTTGTTTGTTTGTTTGTTTTTTAAAAAACCTGCTTAAAAAATACACACACTCTGTTTAATTCTGTAGCCAAAGGAATTTCAAATTCTATCATTTATTGACCTTTTCTTCAGATACAGAGTCATGCCTCCTCCCAAGAACCAAAAGTCATATGAAGTGACTAGGGAAGGAGGAATTAGGGTAGGGGACAAACTAGAAAATAGGGTTGTTAGGTGTAAGTGCACTCACAATGTAAGGAAGGTACTATAGTCGGTATCTTAGAGCCGTGCTTTGGACAGTGAGGTCTGCCAATGTTTAAATGCGAAAACATACCTTGCGATTCAACATTCCCCACATAAGAGGGTCCAGCGTCCCATTTGCGATAAGGTAATGGATATTCACAGAACTGCACTGTCCAATCCGATGCGCCCTGTCTTCGGCTTGCTTTATGTGTCCAGGGTCCCAGTATAGTTCAGCAAAAACCACATGAGTGGCAGCAGTAAAGGTTAATCCCTACAAATAAAGACAAAAATGAAGGCTCCGGCTTGGAAAGCAGAGTCGACTAAAGGGAAAGGTATTTAATGCTTTTGCCAGAGAGTCCTCACGTAATGCCTTGGGCTCAGAAGGCTCAGTTAAGTCTGAAAATGGTTAGCCAACATGGTTTAAGGAATTGTGACAAATTGCATTTCCAGTTACTGCTGGCGCCCACTGCCTGCCTGGGTTTAGGAACTCCCAACTTGGGGCCCACCTCCCACCTTGCAGTCCTCCCTTCCAGCAAAACCTTGCCACAGCCTGACACTAAGGTCTCTTTAAGTTTCAGGTAGATCCTCCCACCCTTCAGGTAACTTCCTCCCACCCTTGCTTTCTCTCCTGCCATCTCCCACCACTTTCGGACTCACCCTTTCCCTGCAAATGCCAAACCATCACTGTTTGGGCTCACTGCCATCTCACTTCTCATCCCTCCTCTGAACTTCTCCCTTCTCCTCTCAACAGCCTTCAGTAGTAATCATGGATTTTTCTTTTGTTCTACCTTATCAATAAAACCGGCTTCTGGAAATCCTCTTATCTCAGTTGCTCCACCCTGAGTACCTCATGCAGGCACCCTGCTACTTAGACTGACGTCCTTAAATTAAGCATGTTTATTTTTTTGTAAATGCACTCGTTTCTGGGCCAGCTGTGCCAGACTCACAGCAGCCTGTCATCTGGCACAAGAGAGCCAGGCCCACAGCAGGGACAGTCCCTCTTATACTTGAGCTAAATTCCCCCCAGTCATGTGGGTTCCATACGGGTTTATTCCCCTGAACACAGAAAATTAGTTCGCAGACATGTGTCCTAAACAAGTGTGGGGACAATGCATTTGTACTTTTATTGTGGTGGCAGCCATGTTACAGCAAACTACTGTCCACCGCAGAGACCAAGCTGGGAAAAGCAAACAAGCTGTTGGGAACTATATAACCATTTCGTTAAATATAGGCCTGAATGCTGAAACTGACTTTTGAGGGAACAGAATAGGAATGTTCGTGTATTTCCCATACCGTATCTTAAAATTCTTACGTCTATTGGTATATACTGAAGAGCAAGTCATGAGATACTACATTTAAGGAACTCCTTTGACCTATGTTGATAGAGTGAGAAACGACACCATAACGAAACATAGGAACGGGTTATTGTTCAAGGTTAGGCCATGGGAGAAACTAGTTAACTTTTTCCTTAGTTATACAGATTTGCTACATTAATTGCTGCAGGATCGTTTAGTAATTGCTGTTTAGTCGTGTCCGACTCTTCGTGACCCCATGGACCAGAGCACGCCAGGCACCTCTGTCCTCCGCTACTTCCCGCAGTTTGGTCAAACTCATGCTGGTAACCTCGAAAACACTATCCAACCATCTCGTCCTCTGTCACCCCCTTCTCCTTGTGCCCTCCATCTTTCCCAGCATCAGTGTCTTCTCCAGGGAGTCTTCTCTTCTCATGAGGTGGCCAAAGTACTGGAGCCTCAGCTTCACGATCTGTCCTTCCAGTGAGCACTCAGGGCTGATTTCCTTAAGAATGGATGCGTTTGATCTTCTTGCAGTCCATGGGACTCTCAAGAGTCTTCTCCAGCACCATAATTCAAAAGCATCAATTCTTCGGCGATCAGCCTTCTTTATGGTCCAGCTCTCACTTCCATACATCACTACTGGGAAAACCATGGCTTTAACTATACGGACCTTCGTTGGCAAGGTGATGTCTCTGCTTTTTAATATGCTGTCTAGGTTTGTCATTGCTTTTCTCCCAAGAACCAGGGGTCTTTTAATTTCGTGACTGCTGTCACCATCTGCAGTGATCATGGAGCCCAAGAAAGTAAAATCTCTCACTGCCTCCATTTCTTCCCCTTCTATTTGCCAGGAGGTGATGGGACCAGTGGCCATGATCTTCGTTTTTTTGATGTTGCGCTTCAGACCATATTTTGAGCTCTCCTCTTTCACCCTCATTAAAAGGTTCTTTAATTCCTCCTCACTTTCTGCCATCAAGGTTGTGTCATCTGCATATCTGAGGTTGTTGATATTTCTTCCGGCGATCTTAATTCCAGCTTGGGATTCATCCAGCCCTGCCTTTCGCATGATGTATTCTCCCATTTCTTTAAGAACTTGCCATAGTTTGCTGTGGTCGACACAGTCAAAGGCTTTTGCATAGTCAATGAAGCAGAAGTAGATGTTACTGTACAACTCTACATAGTGCTTTAATTCAGCAGTTTCATCTGGAATTTCTCACACACAAAATGGTCTCTGTGAAACCTGTCAATTCACTGACCAAGCTCTTTGCCTTACAGTGTGCCCCATAGGGTTTTTAAAAAAGAAGTCAGTGGCAATACAGATTAACAGTTCAAATGCCATAAGCAGTAACTCACAAGTTGTATCCTGTATATTGTTAGTCCTTACCTGGCCAGCAGCCAGAATGCTCAAAATGGCCACCCTAGTATCTGGGTCCTTCTGAAATTGATTGACAAGGCTGATTCTTTCTGCTGAAGGTACGCTTCCATCTATTCGAATATATCGAGCCTGTGAAGTAAGAAAACCAAAGCATTACCCGAAGTTAAAGGAAACCCTTTTCTTTGCATATGAACAACCAATATGCGACAAACGCAGACTTTTAAAAAAGCAAGCATTCTTTTAAAGCAAGCACCAAAAAGAATGCGTACTGGTTTAGAGCTTGATAGTAAGATCCTTAAAAAGCAGTGGAAGAAAATAAGCCACGCTTACCTTGCTTTCTATCACTGCCTCTGTACATGCCTGAAGCATGCTTAAGTGATGAGCAAAGACTAGAAACTTCAGTTTGTCATTCTGAAGCAGCATTTTGATGTAATCCTGTACTGCTCCTGCCTAAAACATACAAAGAACCTTGGAATTTTGTTGTAATAAAACAGTTAAAAGGATAAAACAAAGTAATTTGTGTTGATGTAAAAGAGAAAACTACATTAGCATACAAGGTTAATTTCCTCTCTCGGTTTGAACAATATCTGAAGTGTGCCAAGCAAACAAAAAGCCAATCTATGCACCATGTTATCTTGCAGATATATCTTACTGGCACATCATCATCATCATCATTAGTGTAGATCCACTAAGGGCTGTATCTGAAGGCAGACTGTGAGAATGGAAAGACACTTCTGCTTGTGCAAAGGGGATAACTATTTCTGCTGAATCCCAGCTCTATCAGCTGGGCCACATCCCATTCTATTCCTGAGGATGCCTGACCTTCAGGATTGGTTTTGTGGGAATCATGCACACCAACTCCTGGGGGCCAAGCCTCCCTCAATGGGCTCCCTCAATGTTTTGAGTGGGCCAGGACCCCCTGCTGTTCAAAGCAAACGCAGAGCGACATCAGGACGTCATGCAATGTTGCGTGTGTGACATCAGGACATTGTGTTGGGTCCCCTCTATGTGTTTTTTTTTTTTTTTAGAAGATGGCGCTTCTATTGGGGATAATGAGAGCTGAAGCACAGAGGAGGACTGTAAGTGAGCCACTAATACAGTTCTCTGGAATCAACACAAAGTGTTATTACTACAAGTACACTGTGTTACTTACTGCCTGCCCCTTAAAAAGCAGTCAGGAATGCAACTTGGCACTGAAAATAAATTTGCAGCTAAAGAGAGAGCCAAGTGAGATAATTAAAACATGAACACTATCTACTAAGTTGAAAGACAAAGTTAAAAGTGTGGCCTTGTCTTATCTAAAGCCTGAACCTGTATTCTAAAATTAGAGGCAAGAGTTTATCTTCAGTGTAACTGGATACTGCTCATTAATTCAGAGATACTTTACGACAATAGGTAGGAACCAAAGTCCTTCTGTTCTCAGATGAGTGTGTGACCCAGTGTAGGCTTCCATGAATGGAAGTGGGGAAAGGTGGGAGAGAGGGGTTTGACTGTTTTTGCTAATAGCTCCTGCAGCCCTTCATTTGGGGGGGGGAACCCTGAAACAGTGTGGGAGGTGGTGCACAGCCTACAGGGAAAATCTGCAAAATGATCTTGCACTTCCATTTGCAGAATGATGCATCTGAGCCCCTTCCAAAAATGGAAGGAATTCTGTTCACCAAAGGGTGTCTTTGGATCCCGCACACCATTCAAAACCATACTTCTTTCACTCTGAGGGACTCATTCCCTCATGGGCCATGGGCCAGTGTCAAGCAAGGCCAGAGGCAAAAGCTGGCCAGAGCAATGGACGCAAACCTTTCTGCTGTACAGTGGGCTACACTGCAGCCTCACAGAAGCCAGACTTCTCTATACAGGCAAGCGAGAGGCTCCCTCACCATTCCAGGACACATTCCAGACAAGGAAAGTACAAAAGGAGGGTGCAAAGCACAGCTGGTGAGGAGTGGGGCCTAGAGAGAGCTCTGAGGGACAGACAGAGATGGCTGGAGGGTCAAATTTGGGCCCTGGGCCTGAGGTTCACCCCCCATGCCTGCCATGATAGTTTGATACAAGACAAAATACAGTGACAGAAAAATCACTTTATACTGGGCTGCTATAATTTTCAGGAACATACAGGAAGAGACAATCTAACAAATGGACTGACAAATTTGTATATATAGGAAAAGGCAGTACAATTCTTTAAATAAATGTTAAAAATGGCAAGACATGTCAAGATTACCTTGGCAATGGCAGTCTGCTTGAACATGCTTGTAATTAGGCTCATCACCTGGAAAAAGTCACTTTCCGCAGAATCTAAATTTGAAGCTCTCATTAATTTCTCCCACTCTTCAAAGCTAGCATTTAATTCCTGTACAGGAGGGAATGGCAATATTTAGAGGCAAAAAATGTGAAAGGGCAAAACAATTACTGTTTCTCTGAATCATGCCCTACTTTTGCTACCGAGAAGAAAAGAGAAAAACAACAGTCCCTAAAGATGCCAGCTTCTTCACAGAGGAATGCTAGTGCAGAGGTAGGTCAGTCGCATGTTGCTGCCAAGAATAGAAGCCTAAGATAAGCTTGGGACAAAAATATCAAAATAAAAAGAATTTACAGCTCATTCTGTTTCAGTCATATATCAATGGCTAAAAACACCCCTTCTTCAAGGCTCAAAAAGAACTGAAAGCTGGTGAATAAATCAAAAACAGTGAAGCACATTGGTCTCAGGGCTGTACTTTTACAGCACCTTGCTTTAATGCCTTTGCAAATATAACAAAACATTTCACTGTTGTGCTTATTAATTTGATGCAACTTATTGTGCTACTTATTTAAAATATAGCAATTGTCATTGTTTCAGACCATTAGTCATAATGCTATTTTAAATGAATAAACTCTGACTTTAGTAGCTGTTGGCACCAAGTGAGAAGACCATGAATTCTCCTTGTGCTGTGTCTCAAAGTACCTTTGAAATTACCTAGTGGGATTCTTGGTTCTTAAAATGTGTTGAAAGCTGCACTGAGCATGCATCAGTTCCTTGTGGCAGTATTCAACTAAGTTGTTCTTGTTCTTGTTGTGTGTGGAACAAGGTCTGCTTGCACAGAAGGACTTTCCCGCCCTCTCTTCCCTCCTCCACAGGCACCTAAATCTGCTCTGTGGGGTAGAAGGAACCCCCAGAACAGGTGCAGTGGGAGGGGGGAGGGGGGCATGGAGAGAACTCCCATTATGTAAGTGGATCTCAATCCTCATGTACATTTCCCACTTAGCCCTGCACTGGACGCTACCCATGGTTATCTGGACAGTGCCCATTACTACTAAATCTTACACAAAGTTCATACTGGGACTTAACTGTGTATAAAAGTATGCTTTCCAATTTGCCAAAGTATTCAAACAAAAGTTCCAGGCGGGAAGAGAGTGTTCTCCTAGAATTATGGCAGTAAATGCAAAACAAGACTTCTAAACCCCTTTTAAATAAATAACTGAATATCACCACTAGCCAATTCCAAGTTTTATTGCGGCAAAAGCCAGTGACACTAAACACCACAAGATCAAACAAAAAGAAATCAACAAAAACATCAGGAAAGGAAAAAAAAAAGGATTACACAAGGAAACTTCGCAGTGTGCCATTCAACAGAAGAGATTTACGCTTCCTGATTACTAAAGTGCAAAATTTGGCCACCTCATATGATATTGAGCTTGAGGAATCTTCCAGAAGGTATTTTCGTAGAATTTCGGGGGGGGGGGGGATTCCAAATAATGTTGTAGGGGTATAAATTTTGATAAAAGCGGCAAAATAAATTGAACTTGTTCTTCACTGTAAAATTCGCAATATCACCACTAGCAAAAAGTGATACTGTTTTCATAGGAGTTATTGGTTACTGCTTCTTTCAGTAACCGCTGAAAAGAGAGGTTAAACGCTACTTCTAAAAGGTACTGTTAAGTTCCTGAAGAGTTCAGCTGTACTAAGTTTTATTAAAGTTGTCAGGGAGACACTGAAATCATTGAGTTATATACTTGGGCGAACCTAGTTTTTTAACCACACAGGCTGAGGTTCTTCAATAGGGTTGCACTGAATAGAACTGCTAAAAAAATGTAGTCAAGTCACACGACGAGAGTTTTCAGAGCGAGGTAATTCTGTGTGTATACTACACATAACACTTAAAACCATAAAAATGAATCACCACCATCACACAGCTAATAGTACACTGGTTTACCTTAGAAGCAGTTTGGGGAAGATCAAAAGAAATCCGTTGTCTGATTTTAGGTGGCAACTGAGTTAAAACTTCATTTTTCAGACGCCTAATCATTATATCACTTAGCAAATGGTGCAGTTCATCTAAATTTGAAGCTCCTCTGCAGTCCCACTGTCGTCTTTTACCAAAGAATCTGGAGCAATTAAAGAGCAGTGAAAAATAGGACACTTAATTTAAATCAACATTAGTTAGCATTTGATTTTACAAAGAAGAAGCACACAAGTCTATTTGATCAGCATTCCACACCTCTGCAAAAAGAGCAAACCGTATAAAGGGGTATCTCAGTGATCTGTTGCAGCCACAATGTTGCTGATCTCTCAATCAAGTTGCAGAAACACAAAATGTAGTAGTAATAATAATTTATTATTTATACCCCAGCCACTCTGGGCGACTCCCAACAGATTAAAAACACGATAAAACATAAAAAAACTTCCCTAAACATGCTGAACCAAATTCCTTTATAAATTAGGTGACAAAATGATAGTATGACGTTTGAAACAAATTATGTGTTCCTTTTTGTGTGTGGATTCAGTTCTTGTAGCAAAGCCAAAGCTGGTTCAAGAAAAGACGGTTCAACTAATTGGTCCTGTCAGTGGAAGCCCTGAGCAAAAACTTCCTCTTGTGCAACAGGGCCTTCCCTACCCTCCATTCCACCCCAAAAAATTGGCCCTAACAGGATTGGAAGAGCATGTTTGGGTGGGCGGGAGGAGTCATTCTGTGTGGCAAGCCAAAATGCACTCATGGAGTTTCTCAGTCCTGTCATAAGCAAAACATTCCTCATAATAATAATAATAATAATAATAATAATAATAATAATAATAATATTATTGATACCCCGCCCTCCCCGTCCAGAGCTGGGCTCAGGGCGGCTAACACCAGTAAAATTACAATAGAAACATAATGGGGGGGGACCCAATTTAAAATACAGGTTAAAATGCAATCTCATTTTAAAAGTAGCCCATAGATCAAAACCGTAAGGGGAGGGAAGACATAAGGGTCAGACTGAGTCCAAACCAAAGGCCAAGCGGAACAGCTTTGTCTTGCAGGCCCTGCGGAAAGATGTCAAGGGCCGCAGCACCCTAGTCTCTTGTGACAGAGCGTTCCACCAAGTCGGGGCCAGTACTGAAAAGGCCCTGGCCCTAGTGGTGACCAATCTAACCACCTTGCGACTTGGGACCTCCAAGGTGTTGTCATTTGTGGACCTTAAGGTCCTCTGTGGGGCATACCAGGAGAGCTGGTCCCGTAGGTATGTGGGTCCTAGGCCGCATAGGGCTTTAAAGGTCAAAACCAGCACCTTAAACAGCCTCACAAGGGGACCCCCCCCCAATGTGAGACTCAGCATGAAGAAACATGGGGAAAGATTTGGTGTGCATGCAAAAAAAAACTTGAGCTTATAATGCATCCTAACCCAGAAAATGGTGAGCTATTACTTCCCTGTTCAGGGAAGTTTTTAATGTGTGATTTTACTGTATTTTTGGTTTCTGTGGAAGCCGCCCAGAGTGGCTGGGAGACCCAGCCAGATGGGCGGGGTACAAATAATAAACAAACAAACAAATAAATAAATAATAATAATAATTCCCCTTACTTGTAAGATTACTGCACCACCCATTAACAACAAGCCATCTGGACAGTTCATAAATAAAACCTTGGGATAGTATTCAAAGTAGTGCTAAGGAGACACAAAGATTTTTGCTTGCCAGATGGAACTATCTCCCTTCTCCTCCCCTCCATGTACTGTTCTGGTTTCAGAATGGATTTGGGGGAAGTTCAGGGGCCATGTGGTGGTGGTGGTGGTGGGGAACACTGATGCACTAGTCAAGTGAGAGTCCTTTCGCTGGCTTCTGCTCACACAATGGTTTAGTTGAATCCAGCCCATGAAGAATAAATATAGAACACAGACATGAAATCTTAAACCACAGCTCAGCCCAATTTCTTGCAGTTAGAAAGGGGAGAAGACGAGGAAAGGGGGAGAGGCAGAAGGAGAGAAAAGCGGTTTGCCCAATCAACCACAGTTACATAGTCCCTGAAACTTTACTTCTTGAAGATTTAGAGCCTCTACAGAAAAAGGTTGTCCATCACAATCTCAAGCAATTAAATCAGTAAAATGATCAAGAGGGGGAAAACAAACATCAATAGGGAAGAAAAAGTTGCTGAAATACTAGTACCTGAAATGTGCGTCGCAATACTTTTTTGCATATTCAGTCCATGTGCCAAATTTTCGTGGGCAAATCGCTTCAAGTTGCATGAAAAGCTGTAAAAACCATCATAAGCGGACTTTATTAAGATGACCATTTTCTCAAAATCTGAAAGACACTCATTCTGCTTCTATGTGCATAACCAGCACCATTCCGAAAACTGCATCACAGTCATGGGCAACTTCCAAGTAGCCCCTCTGACATCACCAGCACAAAATTAGATGCCTTGCCCTGGCTACAGCTGCATAGTCTAGGAATTGTCTAACAGCTTAACCAAATGGTTGTTTTTTTCAAATTCAATAAAATGGTGTCTTGTTTTATCACCTTACTGCTTATGTAGTCTTAAAACGCTTTCTACCACAGCAATAGTCCACCATTTCTCTACTGAGAGGGAATTATGCTCATCTACTCCAGCCCAACTGTCATACCCATAGTTCCAAAAATGTGCTCTGCACAAATCCTTATGGTAAGCAGTACAAAAAAATGTATTAAACTATAGAATAATCTGAATTACACTGTACAATATAAAGGAAGAAACTATGTATATTTTATTTGTATTTATAATGCATATTTTATACTATTTTGTAAACTGCTTAGAGGTTTTGATGATTAAGTGCTCTCTCTCTATATATAAAATGTTAAATAAATTATTTTACTTTGATGCCCAGTTCAGATGTCATAGCAAGTCAGGAATATGCCTTGGGTGCCTGTGTTACCTCCCCTTCCTTTTTTCCAATTTCTTGTCCTCTCTTCCTGGTTTGGTTTGTGGCCCCTACAGTTTGCCGAGTAATCCTAATCAGACTAACTATGGATGCTGCAAACAATATAATTGGAAAGCAGACATCATGGCAACTTAGGGTTACCATAAAGTGAGATAAGGAACACAGTATGAGGGGAAGAGACACACTCAGTATATTCCCAGTGGCCTAGCATGGCTTGGCTGTGATATGTGAACCAGGTATCACATAGTGATATTCAGAACCTCTTCAGGTCTTCCCAACGCAGGAGTTCCAGTGAGGAGAATGGCCCGAGTGGCATTCTGTACAATAGGTAACAAAATGTTGCTGCGAGATGCATTTCTGGATTTCATGTAGTGTGATTCGTCAACTACCACCACTTTGAAATTCTGTTTGTACAGAGCTTCTGTTAAAGTCTTTGCATCTGAAGTTAGCAAGCCATAACCCAGAACAGTGACTTTGCTTGTAGGTATTCTCCTAGGAAAAAGGAGAGAGCAAAACATACATTCATCAAGTTATGAATGGATTGCTGTAAAGGTAAATGGCAAACTAGCTAAATTCTGTTAATTTATATTTATCTAGCTTGTGTTTACTCTGCTGGATACAGCACAGAAGTTTTAGGTTGCCAAAAGAAGACTGGCAAAAGATGCAATAGAATTTAATACCGCTCTTGTTTTGTACTTCAATTAACCCCGACGTGTTTTGCTTTCAAAAATGTTTGAGCATTTGAAAGTATTTTATTTATATTAATTAATTAATTCAGAAAAAGAAACATCAGAGAAAGTTGAGGTACTTCACTCATAATATAGAGGATAATAGTAGATGCCGAACCAATAGCTGTCACAAGTAAAGGAAGTAAAGCTGTGCTTATGGATATTCAAACACACAGAAGTTGTGTTCACACATCACACAATGACTAGTTTAACAAGGCAGCTTCAGAATGCATGGTTTGAAGTTGATTTGCTTTGAAACTAAACGACGATGCCTGGTGTGTGAGCAACAAGCCAAGATTCAGTGGAAGCAAAACAAAAGGCTGCTAAAGTTCTCCTTCCAAGCATGCCAGAAATGGGCAGGAGGGCTTGCTCAGGTTCATTACAGCTTCTGCATGTTGGACTAAATCATGGCTTAGTGAGATGTCCAAACCAGACCAGCACGCTCTTAACAATGGAAGTAGATTTGTAAGTACGGCAAAAAAACCCACCATCTTAAGTGCTTCAGAGCTACTGTTTGGATGGCAAAGCAATGCGACTGATAGCATGCCACTTACCAGGTGTCAGTTTTATTCTGAATAACGACGATATCCTCTGGAGAAAGTTCTGGGATCCATTTCTCCATCTCATCAACCCAAGGGTACCTCAGAGAGGAGGGTACCACTATTAACAGAGGCCATTCATTTTTGTAGTAGTATGTTATAGCTATTGCTTGAATCGTCTTCCCCAAGCCCATCTAAGTCACAACAAATTGAAATAAAAAGAAGAAAAGCTTAATTGTATGAAAGCAGGGAACACCCTTATCAGTGGTTTACCTAGAAAAAGTCTTATCAGCTGTTTACACTTTTCATTTGCAGATGGCAGCCACCTTAGAACCTCCAAAATGTATTACTCAACTTAAGTGCATTTTGAGGAGACTAAGATAATCACTTCCAACACCTGCTCAGTTAAGGACATTAGAAGGAGAAGGGTAGACATAAAGCCCCCATACTCACATATCCACAGATATACAAACCTACAAAATATACCTCATTCTCCCTCGCAACACACATGAAACACCCCCTCCAATACTCATATACTTATTTTTCCATGGATCAGGATGCTAGATCAGGAAGAACTAAAACACATCATTTTGAATTCACATGATTTTTTACGTTGATCCCACAGAATAATCATGGTCCCTTGGATGTGGAACTAAAATTCTTATTCCCATACCAGCTTGCTTATGTCTTAAGATCTTCTGCCCCAAGATCTTCAGACACACTCTTTAGCAAAGGAAAACATGTTTCCACAAAGGAAAGGGCCTTTTCTGTGGTGGCACCCTGCCTTTAGCATGCTAAGAGAAAGGGCCATGGCACAGCGGTAGAGCATCTGCTTTGCATTCAGATGGTTGCAGTTTCAATCCCTGGCATCTTCAGTTAGGACTGGGGTGTCCCATGCCAGAAACCCTGGAGAGCAGCTATCAGTTAGTATACAGACAATACTGAACTAAATGGACCAATGGTCTGACTTGGTATAAGGCAGTTTCTTATGCCACTTTCCCGAGGAACACACCAGGTGAGGCCAACACAAGCTTTCCTGTCAGGTTGCGACTTTCCAGATTGCCCAGGTATTTTAGATCACAGATGATTTCGTTTGCCCTACTCTGCTTTTTAGATTTTGCAGCATTAGCTCTTGTCCTTATAAAAAAAACCCTGTTGTTTTAAAACTGTACAGCCATACCTCGGAAGTCGAACAGAATCCATTCTGGAAGTCCGTTCGACTTCCGAAACGTTCAAATTCCGAAATGTTTGACTTCCAAAGCATGGCTTTTGATTGGTTGCAGGAAGCTCCTGTAGCCAATTGGAACCCATGGAAGCCCCGTCAGACATTTGGCTTCCGAAAAAATGTTAAAAAACTGGAACACTCACTTCCGGTTTTTGTTCGTTCGGGAGCCAAAATGTTAGACTCCCAAGGCGTTTGGGAGCCAAGGTATATTTGTTGCATATGAACTAGTTTTTATTCACGTTTGTACGATGAAGGGCAGTTAAGAAGTACTTAAATAAATAAATCTCCCTATAACACACTGAAGTGTGTAGAAGATCCCAGAATAGTTGTGCAAAGGTAGTTTTTTCCTCTGAAATCATCCTGATTCTGTGGGCTGTCTAACTTCACCATTTAGGGAAATCTTAAGTGTACAAGCTAGTTTAAAGTTAATCTGACTTCATCTTCATCTTATAAATTCCATCATTAAAAATTCTGTCTTTGAAATCCAAAGGACAATTTGAGTAAAGAGTTGCAGTTTTGGAATTCATTCCACCAAATAGTAAATTGCATTATATTCGTATACAGATAGTGTTTCAGCAGCAACCAGCACATTATCTTCGGGTTCCACTCAACACTTGTTTATGTGAATTTATCATCGTTTCTTCATAACACATACAAGAATAAACTTGTATGTTTTGAGTATTAATCTACTGAAGATAACCCAATTCTATGTCTGTTTCCATTGTGTCCAGGTAAGTATGCAGAAGATTGCAGCCTGCCTTACAAATATAACCCACTGACTTTAAGGAAACTTACTTTCCTGAAATGTGCTTATGACTGTAGTCTGAAATAGCTACCCTTTGTTATGTTGCTTCTTCACACTGAGACACTTGCTTCTCTCAAATTAAAAGGTAACGTAATCGTGAAGGTGGTAATTGACTGAAAATGAATAAATTCATGAGCATTTCGCCATTCAGTTGGAGTTTTCAATTAAAGGGGCAGTTACCTTGAACTAACAACGAACACTGGTAATTAAAATCAGGAGATAAGGTTATTGTTTGTCCCAACTCAGTTCTAAAGTTACTTACTAAGAAATCTTTCTTTCACACATACACACAGTTTGAAGAATGATAATGCTAGCGTTATGGCTATTTAGATAACATGGCATAGGCTAAGATTTGGAGTTCCCTTTTGTAAGGGGAAGGCACTTAGGTTTGTGCAAGGCTGCCCAGTTCTCCTCTCCCATTATAGCTGATGCCCTCACACTCCATTCCTGGCTGTTACAGGCACTTTCCCAAGGAATGGGGGCGGGGGCAAGAGGATGGAGTGAGTGGTGAACAGGTCACATTGTGTAAGCAGTGTTTAGCTACACTTTTCTACATCTAACTCGCTGAAAAATATTCGCTGAATATCAAATTCACCTCTCAGCAAAACTGAGAGGCACTTCGGTCTATGAAAACATATTACTTGAGGTAGACTTCATTGTTCCACATGTTCAATAAGTCGATGAGTAAGTCCCATTTTGATTGTCATTACTTTAAAGTTTACATTTGCACCAAGTATCTGTATGGGGAAATTATCCCTTTAATTAATCTTTTAAGTACACATTATTTTATTATTTACGAATTGCTCCAAATGAATCATTTCAAAGAGATTTACAAATATCTAAATAGGTTATAGAAAAAAGATATGCACAGTTGCACACTAGTTTAATCCAAAGTAAGCAGTTACAGAATAGATTAAATGGCTAAAGAGCCACTTACCTCATCTGCAATCATACACCTAGAGGTGAAAATAAAAATAAAAATTAGAAGGTAACCCAGAACTTTAACTGAATAAAGCATGCATTCTATACAGTTTGCTAACACGTTTGTTTTCCAAGATATAAAACTCCCAACAATTTCTCTTCAACACTGTTTAATGCTAATATTGACCAGGATCTAAGTAATGCAAGTAATTCCATGGGCTTTAAACTCTTGAACAGCAAATAAGTCCCAGCCATAACTATGCTGAAGGAAAAACACCTTTTCCGATATGTCAAGGGGGCCTGTTGGGAGAAAAGGGGGAAAGTCCCACTAAACATGTCCTCTAAGCTCTTGGTTCAACTTTTAAAAGAACTCACAGCTACATATACACCAGGACGTTTTCAAATGTGGTGGCTAAGCAGTTACGGTATTGGACGAGAAATTCAATGAGGACTCCTTGTGTACTGTAGCTCTTTATTTGGTGGAGGACACACAAAGTGACATGTGTGGGGAGGGAGGGGGTGTTTGACATTTCTCCTCTTCTTAATCCCAGACTGTTCTAAAGGGTCTCCCAAAGGTATGAAGCAGATTTTTTTTGGAGGGGGTTTACTAATTTTTCCCTCCTACCCTACTCAACTCACAAATGCCTATGCTGTGGCAAAGAGCTGCCACCAGCTCAAAAAAGAAGCTAAGTGATACACAGAGAAAGATCATATAGGTCCTATATTACTTAGAAGCCACATTTATGTAGGTGAATTGACACATTTGTTGCATGGTTTTTGATGGAGAACTACAGGTCCATGGAGCAGAAGCAACGAAAAACAGTTCTGAGAACTGTCATGAATTCAGTTAAATTGAAGAACTGCATGTGGACCTCTGGCATGCAATGCTGCTCCCTTATCTAGACTTTCTCATCCATTTGACAGCGCTGGCTACCATGCAGGTGGTGCTCAGTTCATGCTTCAAGTTAACTGGTTGCAGCATAAGTTTGTTCTTCAGACAGTGTTTTGGACACTCTTTGGACAGTGGTGGCACAGGAAAGTTATTTACAGTGCTGTAGTGGCACTGGAATGCTGCTTTGTAAAACTGATGGGCCAAGAAAATGCAGACTGCTTTGAGAGAAAACAAGGCATAAACTCTGCCTGTGGTGATGATGCTTTTCTTCAAGGTGGTTTGGGAACTCAAATTTAACTTTAGTCTGAGATACCATGACATTGAGGTGGTGTATGCTCACTCTTTGCATGAAAATCCAGAGAGTGGTACTGGGTGATTATTCATCACTTAAAAAACAACCACCAAGACTTCTGTTATGGGTCCTTCAGCTTTGCTCTGAGCAACATGCGTGAGGCTACTAGACGTTATTGGGCAGAAATTTGGAGAGAAGTGTCGGAATTGGTTTGTTGATAACAAACCCTCTACCTTTACCTTTTTTGTCAGATCAGACAGCTGAGGTGCTTAAGAGTTGTGCAGCTGTTGTGATGTAAAGGTATTTAAATAAACACCACAAATGATGCATGTACCAAGGGTTCACATAACAACCACTTATTCACATCGCTGAATTATTCCAATGCGTTGCATGTGAGTTTGCCCTCGAACATGGTTTGGAAACTTCAGCAAATCCAGGGTAAGTCTGCTATATAGTTCACTGCAGCTGGATGATTTTGACACAGTATGCCACTACTTCATGATCTGTGCTGGCTGCTTGCTTGATTCCAGGCCCAAAAGAAATGCTGGTTTTGACACTTAAAGCCTTGTACTAGGTTACCTCAAAGTCCCCCTCCTTTGATATCTAACCACCTGGAGCCTGAAAACATCTTAGAATGCCCTTTTCTGAATGCCTCTGCCATTTGAGGCATATCAGTTGGCTTCTAGGGAGAGGTGGTAGCACCCTGGTTGTGGAATTCTACCTCCAGAGAAGCTTGCCCAGCTGCTTCTTTGTGGTGTCTGTGACCTTTCAAAATCTCTTATTTTAAAAAATCTATTACATTCTGTTTAAATCTGCAATTTTATTTATTTGTGGCTGGTTGAGATATTTTAAATTTGTTCAGGTACTTTAAGGTGCCCAGAGAGCGGTGCTATTGTTGTTAATAAATGTTGTTAATAAAGCAATAAATTGAAACGTTTACATCCCATCTTTTTGTAGAAAATACAGTGGTACCTCAGGTTAAGTACTTAATTCGTTCCGGAGGTCCATTCTTAACCTGAAACTGTTCTTAACCTGAAGCACCACTTTAGCTAATGGGGCCTCCTGCTACTGCCAGAGCATGATTTCTGTTCTCATCCTGAAGCAAAGTTCTTAACCCAAGGTACTATTTCTGGGTTAGTGAAGTCTGTAACCTGAAGCGTATGTAACTCGAGGTACCACTGTGGTCAACATGGCTTACAACAGCGTAAAGCATAGAAAACCAGCAGCAATTTAACAAAAAATAATCACAGCTTCCAAAACACCCACCTACACCTCTTTAGGGGTTTCTAAAAAGAACCTAAAAACTGAGGTTTCGGTCAGGCTCCAGAAAACCAGCAGGGAGGTAGATCTGCTTATAAGTACAATAACATTTTTAGCCCATTAGATACTGCTTTTAAAAAGCTGGTGTCCCCATGCTGTGATAGTGACATCTAAAAAGAAAACTACCACATTTTTTATAGAGAAACATCTAATTATCACATACTTGATAGTATCATGTCTACTTAACTATTCCATCTGCCACTGTGGGCAGAATGAAGCGATTACGTAGGCCACAAAATGAAATCTCCCCATGGTTAAGATACAGTAATTCAGAATCATATTCCTTATCCTAATAAGAAAATCCAGAGTCCCGCACCCCAAGCCCTGTTAGTTATATGCTTTTCCTCACTGCTTCCTGAGTTAATGAAATTAGAGCACGCTGCCTACGCCAACAGAAAGGTTATGTACTTCTGAAGCAATCTTCAGATAAAAAATTTGAGGCACAAATCTGATTTCTGTCACATATTTTGACTGCAGCGAGCAGGACAACTTGTTCTTTGAAGTTCAATTAGTCATTTCCTTTTAACTGGTAGTTACCCAATTGAGACTAGATCATTCACATACCATCTGCTCACGACAGCTATATGACAGCTATATCCAAGAACGCTAATTTGAGGGGATAAGGCATTCCATTTCATTTCAGGCTCTAAACTCAGCTCACAAGGACAAAATATGTCATAAAGAGAGTAAGAATAATACTCTGTGTGCTAGATTCTTCCCCTCTTGAATGAAACTGCTAAGAGAACACCATGGCCAATAGTTTACCTGGAGACTAAGTAATAAAAATAAAGCACCCTAGATGCTATCCTGATCCCAAGTTGATTCCACCCGTAAGTGTAAAAATATACGAATGCCTCTTGTAACCTAACAGCAGTGAATTAGATACTTGTCCTTTTTGAACTCCAAGGTAAAGGCAGGGAAAGCAATTGTTCCCCATCCCACACTAAAAGAATATATGTTATTTTAGTTTACAGTAAGCTATCTAAAATAGAAAAGTTATAAATCCCCACTCAGTCATGAAGCTCACAAAATGATTTGAGCTCAACCTAACCCAATTGTGAGGAAGCTTTGGCCCTCCATATGTCATCGGACTACAACTCCCATCCCCCCTGATCATTGGCCACGCTGGCTGTGGCCGGTGGGAATTTGAGTCCAGCAACATCTGGAGAGCCATAGGCTCCCCATCCCACAGGGTTTCATAGTGAATGGGCAGGATAGGAATGTTACTACTACTACTTCTACGCTTTGAAAAATAAAATAAAGGGAATTATGCTACTTAGCATCGTTGTGAATTTCTTTTTAAAAAGTCATTTAATTTCAATATTTATTCAATATCATTTTAACTATTTACCACCATTTTCCTTCCATGTCTCATCTTGCTTAAAATGTAAGCCTAAGGGCAAGCTAGTGCATTTTAGTTTGCTTTATATATAGTGCCTAGTCGATTTAGGCGCTTTGAAACAAGTAATACTGTACAGTATAAGCAGTTGTAAAATAAGACCAAAGGCAGAGAGGGGCACACAAAAATCTTCTTGGAGAAGGTGAAAGTTGCTTTAAAGTATAGTCCAGAAATAGATTGAAAGTGCACCTACAATATGAAAGAACTACTCATCTGTGGCACTGACACTATCAGCATTGCAATGAGTAAAAGGAAACACAGGAAATGTAGTAATAAAGTTTGGGTGTTGAGACTTTCAAGGGGAAACCTTGGTTCAAGACTCCACTTGGCCATAAAGCTGAGCAGTGACAGGCAAGGCACTGGATAGACTGTAGAGTTGTGTGTGCATAATGGGGTTGGCAGAATCTTATTTCCCCACAGCAGCCCCCCAACAGCCTATCCAAACTGATACGCAATTGTTCAGGGTGGCTAAAACCAAAACAGGTCTGCAAAGAGCTCCAGCAGGAGCTCTCCAAACTGAGTGAATCGGCAGTAAAATGGGAAGCGCAATTCAAAATAAACAAGGGTAAACTGATGCAGGTTGGACAAAAACTCCTAATTTCACAAATATGCTCGTGGGCGGCCGACCAGGAACGAGACTTTGGGGTTGAAGTGGACAGCTTGATAAAGATGTCAAGCCAGTGGCTGGCAGCTGTGAAAAATGCAAATCCCATGGTAGAGATCATTAGGAAAAGAAGTGAAAATAAAATTGCTGATATAATGCCATTATAACAAACCTACAGAGTGGCTGCAGTTGGGACAGTGAACAGTTTGAGTTGCCTCCTCTCAAAAAGAGTATTGTAGGGCTGAAAAGGATTCAGATAAAAGGGCAACCAAAATGATAAAGGGAATGAAGCACCTGCCCTATGAAGGAAAGGTTACAAGATTTGGGGATTTTTGGTTTAGGGAAAACGTAAGAGGTAACATGAAATTATGCACAGTATGGAGAAAGAGGGCAGAGAATAGCTTTTCTCCCTCTCTATAACACTAGAACTCACGGACATCCGATGCAGCTGAATGCTGGAAGATTCAGGACAGGCGAAAGAAAGTAAATTTTCACGCAGTGCGTAATTTAACTATGGATTTTGCTCACACGAGAGGCAGTGAATGGCTTTGAAAGAGGATTAGATACATCCATGGAAGATAAAGGTACCAACAGCAAATAACTCTAATGCCTATGTTCTAGCTCCACTATACTTCTGAATACCAGTTGCTGGAAACCACAGGGGGAGAAAGTGTTGCTGCACTCTGGTCCTGCTCGTGGGCTTCCCATAGGCATGTGGTTGGCAACTGTAAGAACAGGATGCTAGACTAAACGGGCAACTGGTCTGATCTAGCAGGCTTTTCTTATGTTTTCGAAAAACAAAAGGATAAATAACAAAAGCAAATTGGCTTTAGTACCAAAGAGTCCCCTGCTTCCTTTTACGAACAGGACTCACACTTCCTAGCAGAACAGACTGTATCAAGGAAGAGTGCTGTTTCCCCTCAGTTTGGAGTTCCAGATTTTCACCCACTCATGTGAATCAGTTTTATGTAACACTCTAGCATATAATTTGCATCCTACTCACAAGCCAAGACTTTAGCATTAACATCTCTCTCATATAGGGGTTATTTAAGGAATGTGAGCCTGGTGCATTTAAAAAAATGTGTATATCATTAAACACAACTGTGCGGTCCTGTATCTGTAACAAAGATGACTTGTCTTGCAAGAATTAGGGTACTTCACCAAAAATAGAGCCTCAGATGACTTGTGCATGGAATGTTAAGTTAAAATGGTCCCAATGAGTGGCATCACGTTGACAATTATGTGAAGTACTTTTCCATTCACAAAAAGGCTGTGTCAAACTTCCATCAGGAGGCAAAAGTGTTGAATGGTAAAAAAGACTATTGAGCCTTTAGAGCAGTGTTTCCCAACCTTTTTTGGGCAAAGGCACACTTGTTTCATGAAAAAAATCTCGAGGCACACCACCATTACAGCCCCGTGACGTCAGCGCGCAGCGTCACACCGGGAGGGACGCACGAAAGTGTAAGTTTCAATTTTTTCCCCTCCCCCTTGCCTTCCTTCTGTGCCAACCGCCAAAAAGCCAAGAAAAAAGCCAAGACTTTAGGGCAGCAGGTCGACACGGAAGAAGCTCCTACCTAAGGACAGGTGCGACGGCCGTGTCCTCTTCTGCCACACTTGGCAGCCCTGCCTCACGGTCGTGACTCCCACCCTGATTTCTCCCCGCAGGTCGAGCGGCACAGGCAGCCCAATGTGTCCAGCCCAGACACAAGCCCCGCTTCCCCACTCTAGATCCTGAATGCGACCAAGTGCTCTGGACTCCCGAGCAGGGTGGGAAAGAGGACTCGCATCTGGTAGCCTCCGGGCTCCTCGCCTGCTCGAGGGATGGCATTGCAGGCAAGCTGCCGGCCGTCGCCATCGCCGCCCCCTCATGCGAGTGGACCTGCCCGGAGTGGTGGGCCGGGGGAGGCTCGCTCTCTGTGGGGATGTGGCCCGCACGCGCGGCCCCGCTTCCTCCTGCCCAGGGCTGAGCTCCTTACCCGCAATCTCGGTCTCGTGCACGCGGATCCCACTTATTCTGAAGCTCGCGCCACTAGCCGGGGCTCTCACACCGTGCCAGGGCGAGGCGGCGCGGCCCACTGACGTCATCGCGGCTCGCCGCCGCCCTCGACTTCCCTGTTCCCTCCCCTCCCTCAGGTCGCCGTGGTTACCGAGGACTGCAAGCTGCTCGGGCGAGCGTGGGGCATTAAGTGGGAGAAGGAAAATTAAAATTAAAACTCGCCTGAAGGCCGCCTCTCCGGATACAGTGGTGCCTCGCAAGACGAAATTAATTCGTTCCGCAAGTCTCTTCGTCTTGCGAGTTTTTCGTCTTGCGATGCACGGTTTCCCATAGGAATGCATTGAAAATCAATTAATGCGTTCCTAGGGAAACCGCCTTCAGACCAGGTCCGGGGACAGTCTGTCCCCCGACCTCTTCTGAAGGCTGGGGGGGGGACAAGGGCTTTTCTTCCCACCCCCAGCATTTTAAAAAACCCCGGGACAGCGGAGGACTTCTCCGTTGTCCGGCGCAATCTTAAAATGCTAGCGGGCGGCATTTTAAAATCGCCCGGGACAGCGGAGGACTTCTCCGCTGTCCGGGGCGATTTAAAAGCCCCTGGGAAGGCAGGCAGGGGGGACAAAGATTTTCGCCCCCCGCCCGCCTTCAGAAGAGGTCCTGGACCTCTTCTGAAGGCCGGCGGGGGTCAAAAGTCTTTGCTCCCCCCTGCCTGCCTTCCTGGGAGAGCGGAGAAAGGCAGTGCGTTTCTCCGCTCTCCCGGGAAGGCAGGCAGGGGTGAAAGTCTTTGCTCCCCCCCGCCTGCCTTCAAAAGCCGTCGGGGACAGCGGAGAAACGCGCTGCCTTTCTCCGCTCTCCCGGGAAGGCAGGCAGGGGGGAGCAAAGACTTTTGCCCCCCGCCGGCCTTCAGAAGAGGTCCTGGACCTCTTCTGAAGGTGGGCGGGGGCGAAAGTCTTTGCTCCCCCCTGCCTGCCTTCCCGGGAGAGCGGAGAAAGGCAGCGCATTTCTCCGCTGTCCCGGACGGCTTTTGAAGGCAGGCTTTTGAAAGCCGTCTGGGACAGCGGAGAAACCCAGCGCGCCCTTCCCGCTGCCCCCCGACTTGGCTGGAGGGGGGAGAAGCCTGCTCCTCCCCATCGCCAGCCCCGCAAACTCGGGGGACAGCGGGAGAGGGGCAGCGCGCCCTTGCCGCTGCCCCCCGACTTGGCTGGAAGGCTGGCGGGGGGAGAAGCCTGCTCCTCCCCATCGCCAGCCCCGCAAACTCGGGGGACAGCGGGAGAGGGGCAGCGCGCCCTTGCCGCTGCCCCCCGACTTGGCTGGAAGGCTGGCGGGGGGAGAAGCCTGCTCCTCCCCGTCGCCAGCCCCGCAAACTCGGGGGACAGCGGGAGAGGCGCAGCGCGCCCTTGCCGCTGCCCCCCGACTTGGCTGGAAGGCTGGCGGGGGGAGAAGCCTGCTCCTCCCCATCGCCAGCCCTGCAAACTCGAGGGACAGCGGGAGAGGCGCAGCGCGCCATCCCGCTGTCTCCCGACATGGTTTGGAGGCTGGCGGAGGGCTTCCTCCTCCCCCAGCCCCGCAAGCTCCCAGAGCGATGCCAAAGCTGCGCGCAGCTTCAGCATGGCTCTGGGTCCCATTCTGGGGGAGGGGGAAGCTCGGGCTTCCCCCGCCCCAGCCCCACGCCTGGCGGTGGGGGAATAATTTTTTTCCCCTTTATTCCCCCCCCCCCGCCAATTTTTCCCGCGGCACACCAGGCAACGTATCGCGGCACACTAGTGTGCCGCGGAACACCGGTTGGGAAACACTGCTTTAGAGCAGCCTTTCTCAATCTTGGGTCCTCCGATGTTGTTGGACTACAACTCCCACCATCCATAGCTAGGAGGACCAGTGGTCAGGGATGATGGGAGTTGTAGTCCAGATCAAGCCAATTCTAAACAAAACACCAACCCTTACATGTTAACCAGTGAAAAGCGATTAACTTATACCTAGGGGGAAATGCCAGCCAACTGATAATCAAGCGGCCAAACATTTCCTAGACAACACATTTCAAGCTGCAAGCATGTGTGTAGGGGGTGGGTGCATGCTGGAAAACCCTTTAACAGAAGACAAGTGCATTTGGGGAAGAGGCCAAGGGGCAGCTTCTCTCTGACATTCCAGGTGGCTATGTTCAAGGGTAGTCTGTAACATGTACAAAGCAATTTAACTAGATTGATGATTGTCTTGAATAGTCATTATGTTACCTTTTTCTACTCTTCATCCTATGGATAAAAAATTCATTTTATATTTGCTTATAAATGCTATTGGCACCCAGTCATAAAGATTTGTGTTGTCCTAACTCCCTGCACCTCCTGATTCTTTTTCCTCCCCTACATGCACAAGTAATTACTATTCTAAATACTTGAAGAATACCATAAGCTTTTGGGTTCAGCTTCAACTACTTAATGATTCAGGTCTAGAAATTCAGTATAACATTCAGAAAATATATTGGAGCCATTGTAACTACTTAGGTTAGTTTCCCCACTCCTAAAAGGGATTGACAGTTCCATGTTTAAGATAGTTTTACCTGCCACCTCTTTCCAATGCAAACACAATTCCTTTCTTCTGAAATGAAAGAAGTTTGTCTTTTAAGTTTTCAGGTAGGTAAGACAGTCTTTCACTGACATCGGAAGTTGAACCAGAAGTTTTACGTGTACAAGTCTCTTGGATGACCGCTGCCATGTTCCACCTGACAAAAAATAAGAGATCTGATTTCAAAATGCCACACTCAGTATTCTCCAGCACTTATCAAAATAGGTCATATTTGAACACGTTTACTTCATAAATAGTATCAAAATGGATATGGTTGCAGTTCAAGGACTCTGGTTTATAAGCTGTTTTATTAAAACATTGTTAAATGTGTACGTGGGTTTATTTGTACACATAAGCATGTTAAATTGATCACTGGAGTACTTTGAATTCAATTTAAAAGTGCAGTTCAGGTGATAGGAGAGTCCTATGCCCTTTGTGTATAGTTGGCACACAAAGTGCTGTGAAACTTAATAATGTTAATGAAACTTCAGAGAGCACAGTAGACAAAATTCTCCTTTTGAGGCATCATTGCACAAGTGCTTCACTGAATACAACTCAATAATATATATTTTTTAACGACACTGGAATGATTATGTGATTTTAAGTTAGGCTAAAGTGGTTTTTATCCCCAGAAGAGCCTACTCCTCCACCCTCTTTCTGTATTGCTCACTGACTGGAAGGTGGCAAGCCTAGAACACAAGTGGAAAAGTGACAGGCAGCCTCCTCTACAGGAAAGAAGGTCCTTTGCACCTGGAGTAACTGAGTGATCCAGCCACACCTAATGTAGTGACAACCTGCCCTCAGCAAAGGCTGATTAGGAAAAAGCAAGGCCAGAAAAAAACCCCAAATCATGCAAAGTTAAAGAAGGCACACTTCATCAATAGCCATTTTGGATGGGTATTAATCCCCACTCTCACTGTACAACAGCAATCCTGTCACACACAGATTTTACTACAATCAAGTGGGGTATAATTTTGGTTAAATAAACTGTTAAAGAAGACTGGGCATTATTGTCTTAGCTGTTACAGGGCACTGGAAGTAGCACAAAAGAACCAGAATCACAACTGAAGTACAACTACAAACTATATTACAGTTGCCTGGATCATTGACTTTTATCACCTATAATAATTCATCTTCTTACATGCAATTGTGCTGTGTCCTAATGAATAGCTGCATTTATGGGATGAAGTGACACCCTCTAGGTACTAGAATCTTTAGGGGGAAACCCTCAGGACAGGTAGCAATATTGCTTCACTTCCAGTATAACAATGAATGCTCACTGTGCACAGCTGATGCACAGAAATGCTATATTGGGCTGGTAAGGGAAAAAGTAGGGTAAAGGACCCCTTGACGGTTAAGCCCAGTCAAAGGCGACTATGGGATGCGGTGCTCATCTCGCTTTTTAGGCCGAGGGAGTCGGCATTTGTCCACAGGCAGCTTTCCGGGTCCTGTGGCCAGCACGACTAAACTGCTTCTAGCGCAATGGGACACTGTGATGGAAGCCAGAGCGCACAGAAACGCCGTTTACCTTCCTGCCGCAGCGGTACCTATTTATCTACTTGCACTGCTATGCTTTTGAACTGCTAGGTTGGCAGAAGGTGGAACAGAATAACAGGAGTTCACCCTGGCGCATGGGTTCGAACAACCAAGCTTCCAATCAGCAAGCCCAAGAGGTTCAGTGATTTAGACTACAGTGCCACCCGTGCTTGTAACATCACATGGATGGTCTGTGACAGGATCTGAATTTCTTGCTGAGTTCATTTTACAGATTCAGCTCTAGACATGAGCATAGGCGGGTTTTATTTTGGGAGGTGGCAGGTTTTATGTTAGTGAGGGCAGAACTGAGTTATTTGTTATGCAATTGGTCAGTTAGTTAAGTATTTTTATTGATTTGCTTGATTTAGGGGGGCAGACCACACCCTGACTATACCCATGTAAAGGTAAAGGTACCCCTGCCCATACGGGCCAGTCGTGACCAACTCTAGGGTTGCGCGCTCATCTCGCTCAAGAGGCCGGGAGCCGGCGCCGTCCGAAGACACTTCCAGGTCACGTGGCCAGCGTGACAAAGCTGCAACTGGCGAGCCAGCACCAGTGCCGCACACGGAAACGCCGTTTACCTTCCCGCTATAAAACGGTACCTATTTATCTATTTGCACTTAGGGGTGCTTTCGAACTGCTAGGTGGGCAGGAGCTGGGACTGAAAGACGGGAGCTCACCCCGCCGCGGGGATTCGAACCGCCGACCATACGATCGGCAAGTCCTAGGCACTGAGGTTTTACCCACAGCGCCACCCGCTATACCCATGACTCTAGAAAATTTAGGGACAGAAAAAGCTATCTTATACAAAGTTAGATTACCGATTCATCTAGCTCAGTACTGTCAACACTGACTAATAGCAACTTCCCAGGGTTCCAGACTGGAGTTTTTCTAGTCAAATGGGCATTTCTATCCTTAAAAGGAAGCATTGGGAAGAGTAGTAGATGTGTGAGAAGTATTTGCAACGTACCTTTGAAAGCTAGTTAGTTAGCTCAGTTAGACGCTCAGTTAGTCAGCTCAGTTAGTCGCTGAGATATTAGGCAAATTTCAATAGTGACCATGGGCACTAACCTTTGATGGAGACCACCAGTCTAATCTACTTCAGTTTCCTGAGTATAAAATGTGGAGGGAGAGGCCAGGTAAGCATATACCACCTGGAGCTTATTTGAGGAAAGTCCAGATGTAAATACAAGAAGTATTACCACCTTTATTGGGACACAAAGTAGTAACCCCACTAAAACTCCCCTTAAATGTTAAGCAAAGGAAACCCAGGAATGGTGGTGGTGGTGGGGAGTGGGGAGTGGGATAAAAGGATGTTGCTAAGCAAGATGAAAAAGCTGCATTTTAGAGCAGCCTCAAAATGTAATGAATGAGGCATTACATAGATAGGCAGCACAAAAATATGTATGATTACGTGAAAGTAAGCCCCACTTTTGTTATGGTAAGTATGCAAAAGACACCAGCCTTAACGGGTTTGGGTTACTGCTTGGTGCAAAAATCTCAAGCAGAACTGCTCTCTGTGGAAATAAAGAAGCCAGCAGTAATTTGGTAGTGTCTCCAGCTCTAATCAAAACATGCACTGGGATCGCAAAAGGAAAAGACACAGAGAATAAATTTAGGTACCGCTTCTTCACACCTATGGCCTTTATGGAAACCCAAGTCATTTTTGCACAGTCCCTAAACTAACTGTGACTACATAACCTGATGTTCACTTAAAGTTAAAGGTAAAGGCACCCCTGACCATTAGGTCCAGTTGTGGCCGACTCTGGGGTTGCGGTGCTCATCTCGCTTTACTGGCCGAGGGAGCCGGCGTACAGCTTCCGGGTCATGTGGCCAGAATGACTAAGCCGCTTCTGGTGAACCAGAGCAGTGCACGGAAACACCGTTTACCTTCCCGCCGGAGCAGTACCTATTTATCTACTTGCACTTTGACGTGGTTTTTAACTGCTAGGTTGGCAAAAGATGTTCACTTACCTGGGAGTAAATCCCACGGAACTAAATGGGTTTGCTTCTGAACAGATATACATAGGAATACCCTCCACATTTCACCTTACCTAGAACCTCTGTCCTAAAGTGAATTGAAGGGGTGTCTGTGGATATATCTGCCTTTCTGCCACCCTTCAAACCGCTTCAGTCTAGGAGTTCAGGAATGCCATTCAGACGCGTCAAAAGATCGTTTACGTTGCATCAAGTAATCACTCTCGGGTGCATGCAGAACTATGCAGTATTTTACTCCCACGTTTTTGACGGCCTCCTAGTCAATAGTTCTCACCAGTTTAAAGAAAACTGCACTGCCCCAACTATACGAAACTTGCTTATAAATTAGTATTCCACTTCCAAGACCTCGAAGCGCCTTCCTCACCGAGACCCGCTCTTCCATCCGTGCAGCAATCGTAGCAGCAGCAGCAGCAGCTCCTCCTCCTCCTGCCGCAGCAGCCAAACAACTTTTTCGCGCTCAAACGCAGCGGAAATGACCTCAAACCGAGAGCGCGGTAGACTCAGAGATACATCGTTAGCAAGTGTCTGTCTGTCCGCATGGTTTATTTTTTCTTTTTTAAAAAAGATTAAAATGGCGGGCCTCCCCTGCATTTGTGTTCATTCGCACACTCTGGCCCCATTATGGCCAAACAACGAGAATACAAACAAGCCCCCTTTCCCCTCTTCCAGGAAACAGAACAGCAATGAGCACAGATATCAATGCACCGTTTTTTAGTGTAAGCCACATGGAACAAGGAGAAGCGATGGAAGATCACAAACAATTTGGCGGCTGATGTTTACAAGTTCATGTGCAAGGGCGGCGGGTATAGGAAGCTGCAGAGACGAAACTGAGGAAGGGTGGTGGGTTATGAAGGGAGGAGCTTTTAGGTTGGGATGAAGCCCCATTGAACTCGGTTTTATAATTATGCGTATGCAGGTTAAAAGAATTTGCAGTCGCGCCTTAAAATAGTTATTCCCCGGATTAACTGCGCGTTAGAACCGCATGGCAATCTAACGACGCCTTTTAAAAGGTCACGGCGAAGATGTAAAGCACGTTTGGCTACCCTTTCAAGTACAAACTCGGGGTTACAAAGGGCGATTATAATCCTGGTTAGCGGTTGTTGCGAGTAATAATAAAAGCCTCCGGGTCCTAAAAGGTGGCCTGTAAAAAGCGATGGATATTTGTGGGCGCTTCCGACGTCGAGTTTGTAACGGAGATCCGCCGGGAGTAAAAATGGCTGGGTCGATGACGGATGCATGATGTGAAACGCTGTGAAAACGTCAGGTTGATTTCAGCAGAGTGAAGTAGATAAAACACATTTGCTTGGAAAAAAAATAATTTAGGAAAAAAGCACACACCCAGCAAACTTTTTTTGGCACCTTGAACAACAGATCTATCTGAAGCATAAGCTTTCGTGGGCTAATAATAAGAAATAGCAAATATGTTTTGTACAGGGCATTCCTTTTAGTTTTTTGCTGTAACCGGCCAACATACCTGTGCCTCTAAGATTTAATAAAAAGCAGTTTTAAAAACACACACGATGCATTTGCATCGGAAGACAAGAACCTAGAACAGCGATAGGCGATAGGGCTGTTTGGGGTGGGTTGAGGAGAAGGAGCCGGTGTAGCTTTTTCGGGTTGCTAAGACAGGCAGGGCGATCCTATGCCTACTTAGTAACAAGACCCACTGAATTCAGTAAGATCGCAGTAATGAAATATATAATGCAAGCAGGTTGCAAAGTGCCGCTGAAATTTTTGGCAGGCAGACAAACGCGCCATGGAGGCAGGCGGGAGATGCGTAGGCTGCTTTTACCTAAGGACTCAATGCAGTGACTGGAGGAGGAGCCTGCTAACCGCGGCGACAGAAGAACTTGGGGTCGAGGACGTAATGATGCGAGTGGTACAAATATAAGGCCACAAATATAGTGCTGCAAAGAGGAGACCTTTCGATTTTAAGGCAACAGACTGTCAGGAGGCGCCTTCGGAATCTAAGCAAAGCTTCTGCATCAAGTACTACAAGTCCCAGAATGCCTCGCTTCATGGACCCGTTCATTGAAGCTAAGGCGATTTGGAAGCGTTTCTTGGGACTTGTGGTCTATCCACCTCCGTAATATTAATTACTGTTTGAGCCAGAGGACTTGCCCCGGCTGCATGTACGTCCAAGACGCCGCCACAGAGGGGAACTAAGGCCAGGTGCCATTTCGGAACAGACCGTAAAGCCTACCTATAACTAGCGCTCGGGGCCGTCAGTCACCTCAAAGCGGCAACGCCACTGGTCACAGGCACCTCCGAGGGTGGGGCTTCCGCATTGCCGGTCTTCTCCGGTCTCCAATTGGCCGGCTTCCGGCCGTCGCTCGGCTTTAAAGGCGCGGCCTCCCATTGGCTAGCATTCGCTTCACCGGGGCGTTTTTTCCTGCGTGGGCAGAATTCTAGCCCACTCAGCGTAGAGCTCCGGGGCTGAGGAGGCGTGCTCCAGGCGCTGAGTGGTTGGGCGGGGCGGCAGTCAGCATCATGTGGCACCGCGATTGGCTGGCGGGACCCGTAGAGGGCGGTTCTCTATGGCACCCGCGGCAGCAGCAGGAGGAGCCGGAGTCGCTGTTGGGGGCTGGTGATGGGGTTAATTCCCCCTCGTGTGTGAAGCCCCCTTCGCGAGCCGGCCTTGCCGTCGCCTTCATCCCCTTCCTCCTCCCCTCCGCCCGCTCGTCAAGGCTCGCGCCATTGCGGTAAGTTCGCCCCCTCCCTCCTCACCCCCCGCCCCAGTTCCATTATAAATATCTCCCCCCCGCCGCTTTTCCGCCCCCTCCGCGCTCTGCAGAAAGGCTTGGAACCCTGAGAGCCGCCGTCCCAGGCGAGGGGGAGGTTGGTCTTGCCCTTTTGCAGCGCCGCCACCACAACGCCAGCCTCCCTCCCCCCTCTCTCTGCCTCCCCCCCCCCGCGCGCCCTGACCGGCCTGCATTGGACGGAAGTGCGCGCCAGCCTCGTGGATGCAATTGGTGCAGTTACGCCCCCGGGCCTTGCGGTGGGTCGGGGGGGGGGAAGTGACCTCCCTCCCTCCCCTGCCCCGCAGGGACAGTGTGGGGAAGTTGGTGGGGTGGATGCAGTGGGGTCTGCCAAGCCCCTAGGCTTTGCATTCGGTGAAAGGGCTTCCCTGCTTCGGGCGAGGAAACACGACGGCTTCAAAATAATGTCATGGCCAGTCTCCTCCTGCCCTGGATGGCAACTCTTTAATATTATTCCCAAAGGCAGGCATTATTATAACCTGAGGGCCTGCCGTGGGAGAAATCCCTGCCGCTGCCCCCTTCGCCCCCTAATGGGCGCCGTCCTAGGATACACGTCTTCCCAGTATCTGTCAGAAAGGGAAGCTGGGCCAGGAATGGATGCAGATAGATTGATATTCATATATATTAATTCTATCTCACTCACTCATTCATATATATTCATTCTCTCTCTCTCTCTCTCTCTCTGAGAGAGAGAGAGAGAGAGAGAGAGAGAGAAACAATCCTTTGGGACCTGCAGTGGCTAACCCGTCTTCATTCCCTGTGAAGTGTTGATTCATCCTGAAATGGTTTAAAGAAGTGGCTGGTTAAAAGCTGTGGTTGTCACTTCGGTTCTAAGCGTGAGGGTTTGCCATCCCAATCCGTGGATAGAGCTGCCTTTGCAGATTCCTCTCTGTTCCAAAGGGATACTTGGCATTACAGTAGTCTTGAGATCTTTAGTGAAAGCGACTACACCACAAGGTCTGTAGGGAGCATGAGGCTTTGTATATCGTTGGACTCGTGAGCGATACATATGTAGGTTATCAGCTTGGAGACTGCCCCCAAGGAAGTGATGGCTTGCTTTGAACTTTGCGTCCTCTCCAAAGGCTGTATGAGGTAATCCTTTGGCTTGTACTAGTAGAGCATCATATGCTCATCAGAAAACGGCTGTTTGGCTTGTACTAGTAGACCATCATATGCTCTTCAGAAAATGACTGGTGCACATATAATTCTGAAGACTGCAATGGGAGACAATATATTTCCCCGTTTGTGCTCTTTGATCCACTTCCATGGGCTTGATGGGGTGTGTGTGGAGGCAATAAGTTCTGTTAGCTTTAGCAAAGTGTCATGGATTGAGTATGTGGGTGCAAGGTAGTGTTAATTTCCCTAGTCCTGTTTGAGGACTGATTTCTAGCATCCTCAAGAGCTGTAAGTGCAACTGGGTCACCAGAGCTTCAAATAGTGCACAGTAACTGCCTCATAGGAAGGACTTTAAAACTGCATACTTGCCCATATTATAATGTAAATGCTTTCCCCCCTCTGTGATTACTTAGGGGTTTGTTCACTCTCCAAATAGCTTGTGGCATATTGATAGCTGCTAAAAAACAACAACAACCCAGAGCAAACATTGAGAGAACCAGTGGTTAAATGTGAAGTACACAATATTGTATTTGGGCTGACTGATCGTTTTGCCTATTGTGTTGAAATGATTTGTTCATTTTTAAAATAGCTAATTACTCATACCTTTAAAGGTAAGGAATGTTTTCTTGTTCTCAAGGTAACAAAGAACTGCCGGGTCCCCCTCATGCTGTGATGTAAGGTGGAAAATTCATCATTTCACAAAATTAAGGAGTAATCTAAAATGCCTGTCAAATTTGGTAATTTAAAATTTGTAATCTGTTTTATGATGTTTGGGAGCTCCTTTGGAAGACCAGAAAGTGACATAAGTGTTTACATAATGTTAACGGTTTTCAGTGCCTTCCATTTTTCTCCTTAAAATTTAAACCTTGTGTGGAAAGCACATGCTATTGTGTTGTCACAAAATATTTACAAATATTCCAGATAAAGTTTTGGATTTGTTTTTAATAATGTTAACTGTGATTTATTGAATTTGTATCCTAATCAAATATTTTGGCTCTTTGAAATATTTTATGCATTCATTTTATCCCCTGGCACAAGCCCTATCACTTTATGCATACAAATTAACATTTTGCCCTTTTTGATTTATATCAGTTAAATTTAAATAATATGTTAAATTGGATAGCTTTTGGGTATCAGATAATTTTCCAGGAGACTAGTGTCAATAACCCCTTCAGCCTGCAGTCAGTGTTCATCTTCTAGAGATTGTAGCCAAATGATTTTGAGATCTTCCTTCCGTACAGGTTGTATGGACCATCATGGATGTTGGAAAAACTTTAATACTGAAAGCAAATTGGAGGTTTGCAAAGTGGATTAACTGTTGATGTATCTTAGAATGCTTTGATCTTTTTTGGAGGTAGAAAGGGAATGGTATTTGGTAGTGCTGTTTGGTCTCAATTGCTTTACTCAAAAGCAGGAGGAGTAAAAATATTATTTATTATTTAATTTAATATATCCCCCCCCATTCCTTGTGAGAGTCTTGGGTGGTTAACAGTAAAAAATGAAGCATTGAAAAACAAAGGTAGAGCCGCAATAGATAATACAACATACACTGGTTTCCCATTGTGTATGAGAGAGACTTTATAGAATTGTTAAGGAGGCCCCATTAGCTAAAGTGGTACCTCAGGTTAAGAACAGTTTCAGGTTAAGAATGGACCTCCAGAACGAATTAAGTTCTTAACCCGAGGTACCACTGTATAGGGTTGAATCAGTCTTTACAATTTCTCTCTCTATAAAGGTAAAGGTACCCCTGCCCGTACGGGCCAGTCTTGCCAGACTCTAGGGTTGTGCGCTCATCTCACTCTATAGGCCGGGAGCCAGCGCTGTCCGCAGACACTTCCGGGTCACGTGGCCAGCGTGACAAGCTGCATCTGGCGAGCCAGCGCAGCACACGGAACGCCGTTTACCTTCCCGCCAGTAAGCGGTCCCTATTTATCTACTTGCACCCAGAGGTGCTTTCGAACTGCTAGGTTGGCAGGCGCTGGGACTGAACGACGGGAGCGCACCCCGTCGCGGGGATTCGAACCACCGACCTTGCAATCGGCAAGTCCTAGGCATTGAGGTTTTACCCACAGCGCCACCCGCATCCCTTTCTCTCTATATACTATATTCAAATAGAATTATTGTACCGTCGTTGCTTAGTGTTCATAATAAGTTATTCTGCAGGAGCTTACATCAGATTTAGAAACAGCACAAAGGTGCTGTATTTGTTTAGCTTGGGCTTTATTTGTGTGCGTCTGTGTGTTGGTCTAATTTTTTTTTAATGGCTTCTGTCAGTTGTGGCATCATTGCAAAACAGCTGGCCAGTATGGTTTTGCCTTTGTGGGAATGTTGCTCTTCCTGTTCCTAGTTGTGTCTGGCACCATGTGAGCTGCTGTCCAGATGGAACAGGACATGAGCTACATCACTGTCTGCTTTTAGCAGCCTCTTCATGTGACATTTAACTTAAAAGTGGAGCTGCGTAATGTCTAGCAATGTAGAACGCAACAAATAACTTTTTAGCTATGGTAAGGACTTACAGGGTGTGTGGGGGGGATTTTGCCAGCAAAAGATGGTCAGTACATCCTGTGGGTTTCTCTTGTTCGTAGTTCTAATTATGCCTGGCAGACAGATTTGTGTGATGTATCCAGTCTGCTTCAAGTGTTTTATAAAACTAGTCATAATTTGGGAGAATGTGCAATGGAAAAT